ATAATATTACAAATGTACGGTATGTACCCACTAAAATAAATTTGTTACAATTTGTATGCCCATATAAAATAATTTTGGCCTATTTGACGTTTGTGTTTTATAATACCTACATTAATTAGGAACGCAATAGGCAGTATTGTTGCTTTTATAGAAAAAAAGTTATAAGGAGTAGGTACCTATTTAATATTTTTTGCCCGTATGTTTCGTACTATAATGTTACATATATTATAGTACGAAACATAGGCAGAAGTAGTGTACAATTTGTATGAAGTAAATAAATATACGGTCATAATATATAATATATATATATAATCAAAGTTTTTACCGTCTTGACTTATATTTATACTTATAACATTGATACGAGTACAAAGATACCAATATTTGATAATATACGAGTAATGCCAACACACTATCAAATTTGCTACTTATCTTATCAAACAGTTAACTAGGTACGTGATTATTTGTAAACTGGTTTTTTGTGGGGCGTTCAATCTAACCGGTAACTTGATAATGTACATATTCTTTTAAAATTATGCGTTTATATATCATATTTCATTATGAACACAATGCACCTTACGAATTTATGATATTTAATTCATAAAATTCTTCAAAAAGGCTATGGTTATGATTAGTTATTGAAATAACTTGAAACGCTTCATCAAATGGTTTTTTATATAGATATGATAAAAAAAGTTTCAGCTCAACTGATGTATAACCTAACCATCATCTACAGACATGAATACACTGTTATTGTTCATGTAGTTTTAATTGTCTACCAGAAATAAAAATAGTAGGTATTGTATTCTGCTACTAGTAAAATTAAGTAGGTGGTAATATAAACTTCTGACCTCTATAAGATGAATTGTTAAAGATGGTGTACCCATAGACAATAAAAAATATTGTAAGATGAAATTAACTACACAAATCTAATCTGTATGTAGATATGTACCTACTAATCTACATAACACTCAGAAATTAATTAACACTAGATGCTTGATAAGATATGATAACATTTCATAGTTATTTTACTTTGATTAATATTTTCGTACTAAGTAATTATATGAGGAAAAACAGGTTCATTAATTTAAATAACCTTAGACAATACACACAGCGCCATCTATTTTCAAGCTAAGCAGAGCTAGTATTATGGGTACGTTACAGCTGATATAATTATATTTATGTCTTTTTTTTACTAAATACATACGTAACATAAATTCATAGAAAACACCCAAGCCGATACAAATAAATCATACTCATGAATGTTGCCCGGTGCGGAGAATCGAACCAATTTGCGAACATCCGAACAAACCGTTAAAGTAAGGAGGCCGTAAAAATTATAATAATATCTATAGCTGATCATCGCAAATAAGTGCCATCATGTTTCAAAATACAGTTTTCATCTCTTATTTTAGAAATACAATCAAAGTAAAGTAGACATTAATAAAACTCATATAGTAAACTTAAAAATGTCAGGCAAACGCCATACCCTAAGACTTAGGACCTAAGTAATACCGAGTTTTACATGATGAGTGGAGGCTCTGGATGTCTCTTAATTATCCTTTATCTTCCTATCTAAACGTCCTTAACGCACGTATTTTCCTGATGTTGCAGCATTTATGGGCTGCGGGAATCACTTACCAACAGGTAAATATAGTAGGTATTCATGTATAGGTAAGTCGATGACTTCATATTTTTATCAGCTCCATCTTGATAAAATGATGAAGCCTTGGCCGTTAGTTTGTTTGTTATTCCAGTGTTAGTGAGTCATCCTCAAAAGAAACACACTGTAAATACATTGATTTCAGCAATTGTATTTTTCTACTGATAGTTAATCTGACACCGTTTGTAAGATATACCTGCCTCACACAGCGAGGAATTTTTATTTATAATAACTATATTTTTCCGTTTTTTTTAATAAGGCGAATTACGGTATTTGATATCTCGATGAGCTGTTTAAGCGGTTATAAGTAAACTCAAATAATGCCTTATGCTCTTAACTTGAAAAATTCATTGTTGTAATAGTCAGCAAATGCTGCAGGAAGAGAGTTTCACTCTTTAACTACTCGCATAAAGAAAGATGATGCACATCGGCTGGTACAAGGAGCAGGGATGCCAACTGTATATGGGTGGAGTCGCTCTCTACGTCTTGTAATACGGTGGTGGAACAGTGCTGGAGGAATGGTTTATGGAATTCATGAGCACATTAGCCAAAATGCAGCCTATAGGAAACCCTATCGGTCTTGAAGTTTCTCAGTCATATCTAAGTGATTAGTCCCTGATTTAAAAAGATGTTCACTTGTAGCTATTTTTAAACATTGTGACATATAACAGTAATTTAATTTGTAAAAATATTTTAAAATACATACATACAGACTACTGTATCATGGCCAATATACTTAGCATGAATCAATGAAGTAACTGCCTATCTATGTAATGTTTATTGTTCATGGACAGTTTGATTCACAATAATTACTATTTGTAGTTTGGTGTATACCTACCTACCTACATCGTTCAGCCCGCTCCCTTACACTAGATAGGGGAGGGTGGGGCAAGACGGGGTAGTTAAGGTTTGACATTGAATAAAACTCACATTTAAATAGGGACAAAAATAGTTTCATTAGTTTTACAAACTTTGGTAATCGGTTTATTGTTTAAATAACAATAGTCTCAAATTAGCTTATTATTTTTCTCACAATCAATAGTTAAAGCGAAAAGGTCACTTTGCTCCATCTTGCCCCATACCTGGGGTATGACGGGGTACCCTATAGGGCACGACGATGTACGTAAAATAACAATAGCTGCTGCTACTAAATACAGTTAGAAACTAAAAACAAATGGTTTTAAAATATAACAAAACAGTCTCAAGTTTAATACGATTATAAGTAATGGACTAAACTACTACGGGGATGAACTGCAAGGATAGCTCTGTTGTGATCCAGCCTACCTCACTGCAAACACCCCACGTACCTTGGGGAGCATTTATCATCAGTTCTGGCTTCATCGTTTTATGAGGAAATAGCATCATTGGTAGCATGTAGTACCCAAATGCACTGAAACTAAACACTACAGTGATAGTAGCTCCCCTTTTAGCTGAAGATCCAACTTGCTTATTCCCTGTTCTGGCGATAATTTTATATTTACTTTTAGGAACGATGGATACCCCAGTCTCGTCTGTGTTATATATTCTGTCAGGAGAAATTTTCTTGAGGTCGAGGGTTCAGCCTAACAAATTAAACATCTATCTACAGCTATTTTATTAAGTCCTGCAGCTCTTGCCGCTGAAGTATTCTCCGGTTTTCTAATTGAAATTTCGGAGTGCCATTTGCCTGCTCTGACCAACTCACCCTACTGGTTTTCCGCACGTAGGTCCATCCCATTCTTCAAAAATACAAAATTAGATTCGGACGGGGCAAGATGGGGTATCCTATATACCATCTTGCCCCTTCGGGTATTAATTTTATAAAAAAATAATAAAAAATAGAAATAATAAATTTAAGCGGTCGAAATATTCTCACCTTACTTTATGCTTTTTTACTCTTCCAAAAAAAAAAATAGCAATAACAGCAACCACTCATCAATTTAATATTTTTTTCATGTAGTTAACAACAATTGAAAATAATAAGTAAACTGGTCAAAACTAGTTTTTTCGCTCAAACATCTAAACGCGACGTACACTGCGGTGGTTCTCAGGCGACCGAGGGGATCAAGTAATAGCTAATTACTGGTATTATTGTTTTGACTGAGGTTCATTTGGTTTTCTCTGTAAGGGGGGTACCCCGTCTTACCTCGCTACCCCGTCTTACCTCGCTACCCCGTCTTGCCCCACCCTCCCCTATCTCTATTAGATACACATGTCATAGTCAAGTTATTTAACTTTTTTTAATTAAATCAGTCCTTGAGACTGGCTCGAGGGAGGCAATACTTACTTATAGAGGAGGATACTTCCGGACGTCTACCGTTTAAAACCTCAATGTGCCTTCCGTTTGTATTGTACCGGGTAAGCGGGGCTCGGGATACGAGCACAACTGGAGAAAATACCTACTGATTTTACTGATAGTCATATCTGGCGGCTTGAGCCAACGGACGCTGAGATTCGGCCATTCTTAGTAGGTACTTGACGTCAGCTTCAGCCATCAACATTTGATAATGCTCTAATAAATTGAATTAAATGCAAAGTAATTGTAATTTCTCTCATACCATGTGAATTATTTTCAGACAAAGAATTTTTGTTCATCAAAGTTATCAGTGGCAGTTATCTACCTATCTACTAAATATAATAATAAAATTTATGAGAAGCAAATCAAACAGCTAGAATTATTTGTAAATTTGCCCATGTTCACATTCAATTCTGCTAAGATTTTTAATGTAAATACTAAATTATGTTTATTTTGTTAAAATGTATATTATCCCATGGTATTCTTTAAGCTGTCTGTCTGTATGTCAATTTGTAACAATGTGATAAAATTTTCAGGTGGTAGGGATATAATGTTTACTTTCTCAACACATCTTGTGTCACTCGCGTTCCACTAAAAACCTGTATTCTTTTTAGTAGTTCATCAAGGAGGGGTTATAATTTCACAAATAAATACTATTGAACTCTACCTATAATTTTTTTTATCTGTCTTTCTTTCTGATTTTATATCAGTTTGTTTTTGCTAATTAGATGACTAAAAATAACCTATATTTAAATTATGAACCATTGTATCAAATTGTTCTACAAGGCAAAACTTTTAAGGTTGGTAACCCTAGTTGTACTCTGTGATTAACAGTGGCAGAGTTGACTAGGGATTTTGACATGTATTATAAAACATCGATATAAATATAGATCGATTTTTCCTACTAGCCTATCTAACTTAGAATAATTTTCCGTTATGACCTTTTCCTTTTAACGTTTAAATTTTCATTTATTGCTTTTTTTATCGATGTCATCAGTGACGTACATCGGTATAAATCGACATCCCTAATTGACATACTGTGAACTGTCAGAATTTATAAACAATTACTGTGAATGACTTGTACCTATTTAAAATTTGTTGTTTTTATTGATGGTTTTTATTAATTATAGTTACTGACGAAAGGGTTTTATCTCATAAATAGTATAGAACACTATAAGGTAAAATTTGTTCCTGAAAATTCACTCAATCCTAATTTAATTAAGCCATTACTCTAATAAACAAGTGCTGTAATATTAGTCTGAAACTTTGCATACCTATTAAGCAATATTTATATTTTTAAACATACCTATTTACAAATTAATCTCTAATGTGATTGTTGGATAGTGATGTTTGTAAAATGTGCTATTTATTTTATACCAGTATAGGAACACCGGTATAAAATAAATTGCGTACAATATATTTTTTACTATGGATAGTATATTGATGAAAATGTTGTATAAATACTTATTGTGTATTGGTAAATTATAATTCCTTTATTAATATGTATAATACATTCTGAAATAATATATTTTTAGGTCTTTGTTAGTCATGGCTGGTTATTTTGAAGAGATGGGATGGTCAGAATTGGCAGATGGGCAACAACCAAATCATTTACTACATATGGCTAGATTTCTTATTGATTTTGGAATGTATGAAGACAATTTTTCTGGAGAGTGGCCAAGGTAAAATTTAGGAATTACTTACATTTAAACATTTGTACAAAATGAAGTCAGTACAGATATTTTATTCACAAATTGAAAATTTATCCAGGTTGAGCAAAATGGAATTGAGGCCATCTTTTTGATTTCATTATATTTTAATGTCCATATTAAAAAATATATTTCTTTTTATTATTAATCCTGTATAGTACTATTATAAACTCATTGAGTGGTATATCATATTATTATCATTTATATAAAAAATATATGTGATTATTTTATTGATTGATTTACTGAGGCAGAATATAAGAATAAGTATAACTGTATAATGTTATCTGTATGGGTATCTGGGAAAAATGAAGATGAAATTACTAGCAATTGGACAAATAACATGTTATTCATTTGGAATGACAATGCATGATAGCTACTCACAGCTATTATGTGATGACCACAATGATTTTCATGTATATAGGCAATGATTGTCATTTACCACCAGATGGTCCATTACCTTGTTTTGGGTTACATAAAAAACTCTTTATCATATTTTCATTACTGTTGTAATATTACTTTATATACTTTTCTACCAGGTTACCGCCTCCTGCTTCTAAAGAAGCTGTAAAAAATTTGCCTGAGGTTACAACAGAAGGTGATAGCACAAGCTGTCCCATCTGCCTGAAAAATTTTCAAGTTGGTGAAAAAGCAAAAGAGATGCCATGTCTTCACATGTTCCATTCTTCCTGTATATTGAAGTGGTTGGAAAGGGTAAGTTATTTTATTTGATACAAGCTACTCACCCTGGCATTAGCTTGTATCAGATAAACAGTGACTTCGTTTTATACTATGTAATAATGATGATAATAGAATTATAATCTATACAAGTAAATAGAACTGAGGTGTCTGTTTGGAATTTTAAATTTACAACTTTTCTCTAAATTGCATATCAAAGTATATATGGTGCTTGGTAGTGAAAATCAACCACAACTCTATAATGCTATAACTTATATCTACTCTGTGTATATATATCTGTCACTTCTTCTCTCTCTGTATCTCAATGGTGAATGTAATAAAACGTGTTATAGTTAGTTCTGCATATTTTAATTAATAACCACAACTAAAAAGTAAATCAACCCAACAGTGCTTACACTAAAAATTTAAATTTGAAAAAGTTTGAAGTAACTGAAACAACTGGACTGATTTTTATGGAATTTACACTCGTAGACAACATGTACTGTTAGAGTAACTTAAACTATTTTTCTTTTTTTAATTTTATATTTATATTTCATGTGCAGGAAGTTGTTAACAGCCAGAGTATTAAAGAATCAACAGTAATTTTTGACCAACCTCTGTAATACTTAACATACAAACCTTGATATTCTTGCTCTGAATATTATATAATAATTAATCTTAGTATAACACTAATAAATTTGTGGTTTATGCTATTGGAAGTTTGGTAACAGTTTGCACATTCACTACAAGACATAATAATATCAATGTTTGTTGATGTATGTTGTAAATAAAGAAATTTTACATAATACTTCAAAAGTCATACCCAGAGACAGTCAGATAAAATAAAATTGTTTTAACTTTTTTTCAGACAAATTCATGCCCTTTTTGTCGGTTTGAGCTACCTACAGATGATGAAGGTTATGAGGCTTTTAAAAAAGAGAAAAAGCGATCTGAACAAAGAAAAGAAGATTTAGATACATTGCATAATTCAATGTTCAGTTAATTTTTATATATTTTTTAATTTAGTGGGTGTGGTGTCTAAATAAGTAAGTAAGTATTATAAATAGATCTATGGGTTAAAGTTCTGCAGCATTTAAAGACAGTCAAATGGAGCAATATGTTACTGTGAAAATTACAAGAGAGCATTTTATACAGTTTTCGAGATGTTTCTTCAAAAGTGCATGTGTTATATCTTAATTTCCAAACATAAAATTATACCCAAATAAGACTCAACATAAAATATAATGTACTGTTGTTATATAAGTATAAGAAATGCCTATTTGAAACCTACAAGAGAGAAATACGTAATGTATATCTTAAAATATATAAGCTGTATATAATAAAAAAAATATTTTATAGATATAGATTCATACACAGCATGTTCCATGATTTGTCACTATAATATTGAGTTCTAATTTGAAAATAATGTCATCAACAACAACAATCAACAAATACTGAAATACGATTCCATAACAGATTGTGTTTTTTTTCGTGTGTTCTTTATTAGAAAAAATATATATTTATCATATTGTAATTTACATTCCTATATTAAATGTCACTGTTATCAGTATTGATTATGTTTTATTTTTTTCTCAAAGTTCTTAACTTATAATGTAATGGGTCCTGTAGTTTATGTCTAACTAATAAGTTAATTCAATTGTAGAGACAACAACTAATATACAAGGAGTCATAAGAAGACTTTATAATGAATAAGTGTACACTACAGGTCCATTAGTCAGCATTACTAACAAGCCATTCCTTCCCCCCGACGAACTACAAATATCTTGATATATATCGCCCTGTACGTAATGTACCTATATGACCACAAAACCAGTACTCAGGTCATACATTATGCTACGTCGCAAGGTTAAATTTTGATGACAGGCGATCTTACTGTGAAAGTAACATGTTAAGTAAAAGCGCATGTAATGTAAAGTAGTTATAGGCTTTGTTATCTACAATTTTGTTCAAGAGTATCGCCGCCAAGTAACTATTCGTTATACCTAAAGTCGACTATCGCCGTCCTGCAATTTTGATGTCCTGAGGTAGACTTTTACAAAGTTATTTGTAGTTAGAGATGGGATTTTTAGCATATGTAACACCTAGATAAATGTGTAGAATTGTAGATACATATATATATCAAATAGTACGTACTATTTAAGTACTATTACTACTAGTTAGAGCTAATCTAACGTTGTTTATTGTCATAATTCAATAAATACGTTATATTATATATACTACTCCATGCTGTAACGTTTACCCCCCTTCCCCAAAGTATTCTTTCGAATATTTAAAAATATCTCTATAAATAATAGAATAATAGAAAAACACTTTTGGAATAAATAATTGTTAGTATCTCTCGTTGTTTTTTTTGGTCAAAGTTATTTAAAAGTTTCAATAGAAGTTCTTTCTGCAATTAAGTAACATTCCATCATAATGCGCAGAAAAAATCTTATGATAAAACAAGAAGACTAGTACTATTTTTCGTTGCATTTGTACTAATAATTAAAAAAAAAAGATTTTTTTTAAGATCTTGATAATTACGTTAAATAATGAAAATACCCGTCTATTGGGTTTTTCCCACATGAATACCCGGTTTTTTCCCAAATGGGAAATATTCCCTTGTATTCTCCTTCCTGGTATATTCCCTTTGGGTTTTTTCCACTGCCCATCTCTATTTGTAGTACCTCTGCCTCCTCTATTTCTGTTGCTAAACTATAATACTTGCTTTGTAATCTACATTTAATATTTTAGAGTTTTGGTATAGATATAATGGAAATGAATGAATATTCTAAATATCTCTATCATCATCATCTCCTTCTTCTTTATCCCATTTATTTGGGGTCGGCGTAATATGTTTTTCCCTTCCATTCATCCCTGTTCACAGTCATCGCGTTATTTACTTCCTTTCTAAATATCTCTATATACTAGGTTAAAATATTGTAACAAATATGGCTGCCAGCACGAGTAATAATGAAATTTAAATGCCCGGCATTTCATTTAGGCAGGTATATAATGGAAATTAATAAATTGAAAGGTGCTAGTATATGTAGGTATAACATATATTTTCGATATTTAATCACAGTGTAGTTTCATTACTTTCCAGTGTGTACCTATACTGTACCATTATGAAAGGTTGAGACAGATTTCGCTATATACAAAGATATGATTAAATAAATTGGTATCTTTAGACTGTACAGCAAATAACCATTTTAATTAAAACACTTTTATTACCTAAGGACTATATAGTTACTGCAGTTTGCTTTAGTAATTGTTATAGCCTGTACTTAATTTTTGTCCTGTACCATCTCGATCATGAAATCAATCTTTAGCTTGGATTCTGAATATGAAAGTGACAGTAAATATTCGTTGTCAAAAAGTAATCGAAATTTATAGTACTAGAATATAACATAATAAATATTGTAAAATAATATAATAAAAGTGTGATAAGCTTCACAATGAATAAAAAATCGTTAGTATGAAACCTTGTTTTGATGTCTTATTTATGTAGGTACAAATTTAGGCGCCAAAAATCAAATTATCTATATCAATGTAGTATTAATAATATTCTCTTACCTGTGTTTATAAATACAACAATTTATTTTTAGCCCTTGCAAATGCCCTCCTGGTTTACAAGAATTTTGTAAGCATGCGAAAGTTACGGATTGCAAAAATGTTACGGACATTGTTGAAGCCCTAACATACGAAGCCGAAAGTTAGTATTTATTGTCTATTATCGTTTCCTCGGGCACATTAAATACTTGCACACATATTCATAAATGTTTTTAAAACATGTTTTGGTAAGTATTTTGATATAAAATTTGGAATGGCACGGTAACATAACTATGCCTTTTTTTTAACTTGTGTACCGTCACCGCGTCGGAGGGATGGCGTGGTGGTGTATGGGATTTTTACCCTCTAAAAACCACACTATGTACCTGCAAGCGTCTATGCTGAACTGGGGGTTTCCTATGTGTATTCCATCTCCAGACACGTCCTGTAGGTGTTATGGGGCAGGACCAATCTTGCTGAGATTAGGGCGACCTATTTCGCCCTCCTCTTTTGTAGAGGTGTGTGGATACACGCGCACACATTCGAGGCCATATCATGGGGGGCCTGCTTCCCTCAAGGCATCCAACCTGACCCAGTTATCTAAGTTTACAAGAAGTCTGGTTTGACATCGTTATGGTATTTACCTACATGAATTGTAGTACAGCCTGCATCAAATTTTACAGGTACACGAAAAACTAGAAGATCGAGGCGTCCCAAATTCAAAACTAAGCCATTTAAACCACGTCATTATATAGACACCTGCGTGCCTATGGTCCCGTCGATGCACACAAGGTTTGAATTGTGAATGTTGTAGATGTATGGAGGGTTATAACGATATGAAGCAATTATCAGTAATGGGGACTGTAGTTTCCATTGCTAGCAATGTATAATGTTAGGTTGATATCCATGCAGACTCCACTGGAAATCATTATTAATTCTTAATGGATGGAATCCCGATCATAATTTTCCTAGCAAGGACTAGATAATCTCACTTTATGCATGTATGTATTATAAGTCCCCTTTACGGTTAGTGTAAACTGGGGCGTCATTATATATCTATGTATTTTTTTAAAATATAACTATGTCATGTATGCTAGCAGAAAAGTTTATCAAAAAGGTAGGTACTTACAATTCTAAGTTTAGACGTGTTACAATAAATCAATTTAATTTCTAGCTAGGTTCAGGTAGTAGGTAGGTAAAATAATATTCTTGCCAGTTTTTATTGAGAACGGAACGAGTTTCTAATAGAACGATATACCTATCTAATGCTGGCTCCTATTGGATGGCTATTTTTTGACGTTCCTTGCCATTAATTCTTGGTGAGCATTGATGTACCTACGAGTAGTTATGTTAGGTAACTATTACTGGATATTAGCTTTGAGTAGTTATTACTATAGATAAACTTATAAGCAGTAACTCATAGTCCTAGGTATTTGTTAGTGTAGGTCTTTAAAATTGAACCCTTTATTATATTTTATAGATTGAGGTACATTCGGCATTGCGATGTGGAACCGTTAAGAACAGATAGAAATGCTGGGTTAGTATCTGTTTTATATACTTGTATATCTATAGATATATTGATGGACTCTAAGGTAGACTTTGTACAAAGTGGTATGCGTGGATGAAATTACAGTCATAATATCTTAGCCCTGCAGAAAGTGTGGTATCACAGGCATCACATGGAAACTTAATGGTACTTTTCATGTAGGTATAGTGGCGAGGTTTGCTGCTTACCTACCATCAGGCATACATAATTAGACATTATTTATTCTTACCTACTAATTGTAGGCGAAGCTTCGGTGAATTCGACTTCGAGTTGACGTCAGAAGAGGAAGAGACAAACGGTATATTGAGAACTGGCAAGAAAAGAGAGAAATTCAAGAAGAAAGTTCGCTACTTTGATCTTTTACCAGGAGATATTTTGCTGCCCACACCAGTTCCAGTCATAAAGCACACCGCTTCCGACAAATCTATATTAAATGTAAATATTTAATTTTAAAAGCAATGTGTTCATTTGTAGGAAAGGAGGAAACTGTTAAAGAGTAAAAAACAATCTTAAACGTATATTTAATAATAAAATGGGGCAATATCGAAGCAGAGGTGGAGGGCGCTTTGACTAACTTATTAAATCGTTTCGTGTATATCAAAAGCGCTTTTGATTTTTGCTTCGAAATCTTTATATTATTAGTAACAATAATTCAAGACAATTTACACAGTGCCATCAATTCCAAATCTAAGCAGCGCTTGCGTTAATGTTACTAAACAAGTAATAGAAATACTTATACACCATTCTTTTGTAAATAAATAAAGGTATCTGAAGTGTAGGTAGCGAAACCAATTTTAGTACAGTACGAAGCTACCACTTCGCCCCCTGCCAAAGTTGGTTTCACTCGAAATTGGGGACTAGGGGTAAGTCACTAAGGTAGACGGACTATCTAAACCAGAGTTTCTTTTAGCGTTGAAGAACCATTTGCAACAAATTCTGCCTTGTCATGTACCACCTACTGTTTTTGAGGATTATATACAGTCTCTAAACATAACGGAGGAAGAGGTTGCTTCGTTTATATCATATTTTCGTTTATAACAAACTAAAACAAAAGAAAATATTGATAATAATTCAAGCACCAATATATACTTATTTACTAATCATAAAATGATATTTGCAGGTGGCAAGTCCGAAAACCAGTGGTGAGGTTATCGAAGCTCAACGCGCAACAGTTAAACCTGGAGAAATTAGGCCTCCAATACCGCCAAAATCTGTTTACGAGTAAGATTTTAATTTAGAACAGTCCTGTTTAGTTCCGTTTTTTTCTAACTATACGTTTCCTTCATCGTTTTTGCGTATATACATATAGTACCTATATGTACAACATTTTTATTGTTCGATTAATATAGTTACATACAGCAATTACCTATTACAGCTATTATTTTAGTTGTTACTAATTTATAAATTTTGTAATATTTCAGGTTGTTTAAACCTCACAGTGGTATTGTTATTAATAGAGATAACGAATTCGTTCCCGATGTCATGCATGCTCCAGGATCTAGAAGCTTACCCAGGTTAAACATTTTTATTATATGTCATATACAAACGCACGTTAAAATTTTACGTCTAATAATTAATTCGTTAATTATTACAGATCTCCTAATAAAAAAAGGAAGCCTTGTCATAAAGGAGGGTAAGTTTTCTACTGTATTAGTTAGAGCATAATATGGAAGTAATGTCTCGTATTTTTATAATATTACTAGCTGTACTCGACGCGCTAGCTGTATTACCTCATCCTCGTGGAAATTAACTTTATTTTTCTAAAATAAAAGTAGACTAGTTACTTCTTATTACATCAGCTACCTGCCAAAAAAAGTCCCGTCAAAATAGGGTTCTGCCATTTCAGAGACTAGCCGGAACAAACAGACAGACAAACAAAAATGGTAAAAAATATTTTGGTGTATGTATCGTATTTATATTCATATGCATGTATTAAAACTGGTTATTTTAATATTAGAAACAGACACTCCAATTTTATGTATATGTATAGATTATCGTTATTATGATTTGGAGTCTAATTTAGTAGTAAATTTAGGGACACGACGCTCTTAAAATACTAATTATTACACTACTAAAATGACATAAAATAAAATATCTTAGGTACCCTAGACATGCACCGATTAATTAATTTAATTTTTACAGAATTTGTTATAGAAAAACATGTACGAGAAAAAAGTGTAGTCGGTAAGTAATTATTAATGCCAATAGGGTAGATTAGAATGAGTTAATTAAATTTTCTTAAAGTACAACCCACAATTTGCAGAAAGTATGCAGCGATGAGAAAGAAACATATTGGCCGCAAAATTAAAAGGTAATTTAATAAGAATTTATTTTTAGTTTTGCTTAGTAGGTTACTTACACAAATCTGAATTAAGTGAATGAAAGTAAGATAATACGAGTAGCATTGTTAACCAGATCACGTTCCGATTTTCCATATACGATCTTCGGAGAGGTAACCGATGGCAAGCCACGAGCTAGAGGAACGCAGAAACACATTAAAGACGACGAGTCCATCTGTGGTCTTGATGAGATACCAAAACCAGAACATGTAAGTGTATTAATAATTTATTTATATCATACATATTACAACAATACAAAATATACCTATACCTTCCTAAAACCAAAAATTTCGGTCACATAAATATACCTAATTATGTGTCAGTCGCAACACAAAATGACAGAACATATGGCCGACTTGGAATATTACTTACCTTCAAACCAGCACTCCAGCAAGGCTCTAATTCGCTTATGATCGAGTCATCTATTGATATCAGTTTAGCAATAGTCGATTGATTTTGTATTTGTTTTTTATTCTCCTTTGTATTGGTCCTATTAATTAGGTAGATATTATTCGCGTATCGTATTAAACCTAATTTAAATTAAAAAAACACAGATGACTATTGGTAGTTTTGTAAAATCGTGCTAAATACATTGTTATTGTTTTTGTTGTGGTGAACAGGGTGCACACATCATGACTGCATATTTAGGAGGCCAGTAGATGATCAGCCCTGTGTTTATTGCTTTATTTGATATATTCGTAGGTCAGAATACCAGCAAATTTGAAAAGGGGTACGTTACAAACACATTCTTTGACTGTATTGCCGTGTACGAAAGAAAGAAAACCTGAAATACATTATGGAATATTAACAGGATCATTTAACATGTATGATGCTAAATTTAGTAAGTATAAATAATTTAGAATATTATATAAGCGCATGTATCTCAGTAGCAGTTACCATTACAAAAATGCTATTTACAGGTGGGCGGTCGAAGGGTAGACAGGCTCTTACAATGAGTGTAATGGCATACTGTTTAGCATTTCACTATCATCCTAAACAGTGGACCATGAAGCTTGTTGACAATTTAATTGATGCAGGAGACCAATGGTATGTTATAATATTATTATATATATTTTTAAACAATGACGTTTATTTACCGAAATACAGTAAAATACCATTAAAATATATATTTAACGAACGACACTTATTTTATAGGGATTGTTAAAATAGCTCGCTATTGTAGGCATGTACAGAATAATAAACTTATTTTGCAGGTATTTGCAGTGCTTAGAAAAGGTACATGATCATTCGGCAGTTCAAGGTATTTGCGAAGTCCTGCCTTTTGGCAAAAAACAAACATTGATATTAAATGGGAAAAGAATGCAAGTTTTGTTAGGTGAGCCTGATATCGTTGGTTACGCCATGTCCTTGGATCCTACAGTTTATAACTTATGCAGAGGATTAAAAGTTTTCTTCAAAAATAATCGGGCAGGAATTCTATTAACACGGTATTTAACAATAAATATTGATTACCTTATTATATTTCATATACTTAATTAATATACCATCGATAATTAAACGTTATATTAATATTTTCAGAGTGCTGAAAGTTGTAATTTGGAAAGACAGAATTTGTTATTACATTTTTGATCCAGCTGGTAGAGACTCAAGTGCCTATTCTAATTTCTCAAATGGCTATTCTGCAATTATTAATGTAAAAGATTTAGTATCAGTTGCAGAGGTTCTCTTAGCTCGCAGTGTGTTAGAAGACCAAAAGTTTGTCCTAGCTGCAGTAAAAGTATTGAAAATGTTTGACGAGAAATGTGATGAAGATTTTGAATCTGATAAAGAACTTACTCAAGCTGAGAAAGCCATGATGGGTTACAGGATTCTAAATGAAAATTGTGCTATTGTTAATGCTAATATGCATTTCGGTGATAAATGTTTTGAGGATGCGAAATATCGACAAGCATTGGCAATAGCTATTGTAGCAATAACTTATGCGAAAATATCTCCGCCAAATACTTGGTTCTCTAAGACTTTAGATAAAGTACTGCGCCTGGGGAACAAACTTTTTGTTGATTGTTCACACCCTAAAGTAATGATTGATTTAACAATTGATAACATTCCCAACGAAATTATAATGGGGCCTTATGCATGCGAGATTATAATTTATAGAGAAAGAGTTAAAGGTCAACTTTTTACGACGAAAGAATGTCTACTTAATATCAAAACAGGTCTTGAAGATTTTTTTAGTCATGAGTACAATAGTGGTATATTACAATTTAATAATTACTCACTTGCAATTTGGAGGCAGAAGGACATGTTTTATTTATTCGATCCTTATCCTCGCACTAATGATGGTTTACGCTCTGTTAAAACAGGCAGAGCGTGTTGTTTGATGCTTTTAAATACTGAAACCATGGCGTCTGTTTTTACAAAAAATTGGGATTACTTAGCAGCAACAACACAGTTTCATATTCACGCCTTTAAAGTATTAAAACTTAAGAAGAGACAACCGAAAGTATGCATAAAAATTATGTCTATATTGTATATTTTTTTTGTAATATTTTTGCTCAATACAATGAATTTACAATAATATAAATATGGTATTTTTAAATAAAGTTGTCATAATGAATTACATGTTATACACAGGCATATACCGTAAAATGATGTTCTGTCTTAATCACTGAAACTGATGTGTTGCTCTTACGGATTGAGTCAATATTGTGATTTGTGACATTTTCAGATGCAAATTGTTTGTACTCTTAGTGATGAACAATTACCTGGTGCAAAAGCGATATCAAAAAGGAAGGGACTATCTTTGAATCAAGCTCAAGGTGATGGAAAAGAAGTAATTCACGAAATTTTACCGGCAGACAATATAGATTTTAAACCAGCTGTAGTAAGTATTTTTTTATAGATCAAAGTATACTATATCTGTATATATTTAATGTTAATAATTCAAATAAAATAGCCACAGGTAGATGAAGAAAAAATGGGCGATATAATTTCATTGGTCGATAGTATACAGGAAGACTATATTCCGCCAATACCATTGCGATATAAAAAAGTGTGCCCAGAACCATTAGAAGAGAGAGTTGGTGAGTTATAGATAAAATAATTATTTTCCATTCCTATATCATTGCGTAATTTTGTATACTACTACAGTAAAAAAATATATCCACTACATCATTATTCCCTCTATTACGTTATTCCTTGAATTCATCATAGTTTCGAAAATTTCAGCCAAACTTTTGTGGGTAGGTAGGTACCTACATATATTTTAAGGTACTTAAAATATCTAGGCGAAATTAATTTCTTCTGGATGTTTTAAATTGCCTTTTTTCCTAAGTTCCTTCATAGTGCAGATTTTCCATAAATATGATTTATTTTACAGAATTCCATACCGAGTGTAAATAATATCTTGTAAATATATTTAAAGAGGATTTACCTTATATATTAATTAAAATAGACCATTAATGGATTTATATATTTTTTAATAAAATAGGCAAAGTTAATTTATTAGAAACTATGGATAAAACCTAGGATTACCTGTCAGTAGTTCCTAAAGCAAAACATACTTTTATAAGTAAATTTTACAACTAAGTACTAATTTATTTTCAAAAATACTATTTCTGTTTGCTTAACGCATTTATTTATTAGTAAGTTTTATAAAAATCTTGATATACCTAAGTCCTAATCTTGAATCTATACATATAAATAAAATTGGAGTGTCTGTTTGTAATATTGAAATAACCGTTTTTTACTTACTTACATCCATATGAATATAAATACGGTACATACACCAAAATAACAGTCTTTACAATTTTTGTCTGTCTGTCTGTCTGATTGTTCCGGCTAATCTCTGAAATGGCTGGAACGATTTTGACGGGACTTTTATTGGCAGGTAGCTGATGTAATAAGTAGTAACTTAGGCTACTTTTATTTTAGACAAATAAAGTTAAATTCCACGCGGACGAAGTCCCAGGAACAGCTAGTTATAAATATAAATAATAGTGATAAATTTAAAAATAAACAACATTAGTCTGTACTCGTTTCATTAAAAATTAGGATATATAAGTGTATAAAGAAATAAGGCGAAGTATGGGAACAAACGGAAAGTTGACGGTACTTACTGATTTTAAAGACCAGTGTTTCATTTAGTGAATTTGGATTCGCCAACCGTTTCTGTAACGCAAGTTGTACCACCGTGGCCCAAGCCTCGCGATAAGACCAACGAACCACCTGAACCAGATCCTGATCCAGAACCAACACCGCCACCTACACCACCAATGCTACCAGTAAGTTCATTGTTAATTCAAAATCTTTATTTTATCTCTCTCTTTTTCTATGTTAGGTACTTTTATTTCTGCAACCGGCAGCTTGTTATGTAAGCGGTTACATTTGAAAGGTGGCAATGGAAGCAAGGTTTCAAGGCCTCAAGTCAAGTTTTTCAAGGGGCGTCACAAATATTGTCATGTTTATGGTACTGCTCATGCATAAACCATCATCCATAAGGGTCCCATCAGCATTGTATTCCGCTTTTTTACTGACAACGATTTCTTTACATTAATTTGAAGGGATGTGAAGAATATTACTGGATAAATTCGAATGATATACCTATGGTACACAGATAGATCATATCCTAGATTAAAACATAAGATACTACTCGTATTTTAATCTTAAATGTAAACAATAAATTTAATCATTTATTGTTTACATTTAATTTAAATAATTTATTATTTACTCGAATTCATCTCGCGATACTAGATACGAATATAAGAAAGCTGCTATTTTGTTTTAGCTAACCTAATACAAAATAGCGGCTTTCTTTAACAATTGGATAAAACTAAAAGTAACAGGGTATATGGAGTGCGGGTGAGGTGTTTTAATTTTTTCCTCATATTTCTTCTACCTACATAGTAAATTATAATACATATGTCTACATTCCTTTCATACTGAACCATTCTTTTATTACTCAAATACAAATTTATTTATTTGCTATTACGGTGCTTGTATTAAATTTTCTAACTATATAAAAGACTTTCTATTTAATTTATATAAAATATTATATTATTTTTAGCCTCCCGAAGGCGGAGAAGAAGAGGTATGTAACTGTTTACTAAATATTGACGGCCTCTGTAGTCTAGCGGTTTAGATCGCTCCGCCTTGCTTCCGAAGATGCGGGTTCAATTACTAGCACGGCACAGATATTTGTATCTATTCATGAGCATGATTGTTTGTTTTGATCTGAGTGTTTCCTACGTACACCTACTACGGACGTGAAAAATTAAATATTTCTATGAGTTGCTTAATACTTTTACATACATAACACAAGTTCTGCTTAGCTTGGGACTACATAGGTACATAGAGCTGTGTGAATTGTCCAGGGATAGGATTATTTTTCATATCACTGTCTTGCTGGTAATCAGTTCCGAGGACTATGTCAAATATCGGACTGTGTAGGCACATACACACCGTAGGTATTATTATTATATATATACTATGAGGTAATACCTAAAATTAGTAGTATTTCATTATATAAATATACACTATTTTGTAATAAGTAACTGCGTAATTTATGTTTAAAAATTAATATTAAATTTATGTCCTAATTTTATTGATCGCCTCAAATAGATTACCTGTTTCATAAAAAAATCGTTTAACTTACTACAATATGTAAACCAATTAGATGAGTAGGTATGCATTGTCCATTATAACATCTACTTGTGTTATGGGTATTAGACAAATTATATGATTTTTTTTGTAAATTATACATAGTAAACACCCAGACCGATACAAACAATCATATTCATGAATACAAATGTTGTTTTTAAAAGGAGGAAGAAGAAGGCGAAGAGGAAGAAGATGAGGATACAACAAAAAGAAAGAAAGAAGAAGAAGAGCGAAGAAAGGCAGAGGAAGAGGCGCGTAGGAAAGCTGAAGAGCTTCCGCCTCCACTGCCGCCTCCGCCACCATCACCACAGCCTGAACCTGAAGTGCTGGTATGTTTACTATTCCAATTAATAGCGAGACATCCCAACATATCTGCATATTATAATTAGTATAAAATTATGTATAAATTTATTATTTTAGCTTGCTCCTATACAAATGGCCGAGGATGAAGTACAAACTATGCAACCGGTCCATGTTGATCGTCAAATACTCCTTTCTGAAGACGCGTGTTATCGATTTAAATTGCGACAGTTACGAAAAAAAACGACACCCCCTTTAGCAGAAACGGAATTGGAAGGTTCCCCTTCTGAAGAACTTTTGAAACCGAGCAATTTCAAAGATTTACCTGATAAGTCGCAAATAGTTAGAGGTTTATCAGCTATTACCGATACCAATGCTGTTGATATTTTGCCGTTTTGTGCAATTATGGCTATAGTTACGTCCTATAAATATTCTATCAATACTTGGACTAGTGGAATCGTCAATTTTGTAGTCGATACAGCTAAAAAGTTACACACAAATAAGTTAGAGAAATTTCAGGTGGCACCCGTTCATGTAATACCGAAAATTGCTATTGGACATCAGGTAATCGCAAACTTTCGTAATCGACTTTCTCCATTTTTAACAGTTTTTCATTGTCACTAGAATTTCGAATATTTCATTATATTTATTTATTTATTATTCAGGCCCATATTATAAATAACTCACAGACTAATATACCTACATATGAAATAATATAAAATTAAGATAAGGAAAATCGCATATTGCAATAGACCTGAAAATGAAGCAGGAACTATCTTTGAATTGTTGTACCTACATTTTTAGAACTTATTTGTTGATTATTGTAATGGTCTATTGGTTTGTATAAATTCCCATAAACTATATTCAAATACTCTAGAACGAAAAATCAGAGTCGATTGGACTTTATAGGACATCAGTATAGGGGAAGGGGAAGGGGATTGTTAGTAATGTGCACTATTAGCACCATTGTTTGTGATGTATCTTGTCAGACCTCCACGCGGTTCCCTCTAGACATCATCATGATAAATTCCTGGTGTATTTGTCACTATATGCTAACTGACCTGACCTCATCTTCATCACATCATCCTCCACGGGTGCGCCGCCAGCGTAAACCGTTAGCGTAGGCGGGTGCACCAATCCGTTATAATCCATTAGATACATCATTATAGGTTAATTTAAACAAAAATGATATAGTTCAGTTGTACCGTTGTATTCTATTTTTTACTAGGCGTATCAAGCTAACATTGATGTAGTTGGGGAGGGGGCGACATGGCAGCTAGAAAATGCGCTATCACGTAAATATTTCTTAAAGTACGATAGAGGCATGATCACTACGTCCAACTATAGTTGCGCGTTTTTTAAAAGAAATGGCCTATATTATTTATATGACGGTAGTTCCTGCAATCCCATGGGTATAAGAGATGAAAATAATAAAGGAAAAGCCTGTTTTCTCAGGTTCTCTACATTGCATGATCTGGTTAGCAGGTACTTATAAGATTCATTAATTGTACTGGTAAGAACTTAATCACATAAATGTTTCGCCTAATCAAAAATGTAGAGATAACACTAATTACTATATATAGGTATGATAACATTCTTTTATGAATCTAAGAGTGATTCTTTTTGCCATTTTATTCAGTATAATAAAGAACGATAATAGAGACCTATTTATCGTTCGGTTAAAAGTACATAATGTCGAATTAAAGTTTGTTAAGTTCATAAATGCACAATTTCGTTAAAATATAATATATATACCTATATATATATATATATATATATATATATATATATATATATATATATATATATATATATACGCATACTTCATTGTTATTATATTTTCCAGAGTTTTATATAATAAAGATGGACGTACAGAAGATCAACAGTTTATTCTGAGTCGAATTTTAGTACGTAGACTGCTAACAGAGCCTCGCATGAAACTTCCTGAAGATTACGACTACAATACCGGTTTGCCGAAATCCAAAAAGTCCAGACCTTCAATTGTGTCATCGGGAAAAGACTCTGAAAAGAAAAGTTCAATAGACTCGTTAGAGCTCAAAAGTCAGGCCAGTATTGGGTATCAACAAGTTGAAGGAAGTTACAGAATCGAAGGGACAACTTCTTTGAAAGACAGGAAACCAAATTCCGATATAAAATCATGTCATTTCGTCAGTTTAATAGCAATGTTAATGGCTGCGATGCACCCTATCCGAACCTGGGATCATATTATGGTGGATATGTGTATTGAAAAGGGTCTTGAAATATATGAAAAAGCAACTAATCTTAATGTTTGTGAAAAAAGAGTGATTAAAAATATTATACTTGATGGAAAATTCATAAATATAAATATAAAGAAAATCATTGTGGTTAACGAGAATCCGGAAAAGAGAATAGAACAATACTTGAAGGCAGTTTTGAGAAGACTACGTTACATTATCATTAGATTTCCGCAATGTAGTATGGTCATATGTCAAACGGATGGTTATTATCATCTTTTTGATCCCTATCCACCTCCAAGCGAAGAACCTCAATCCAAAACAGATGCAATAGAATACTTTGATAATAATAAAGTTGTCGAGTCGAAAAAAGCGAGCGCTGTCGCAACATGGACACTGTACAGATCTATGGAAGCTTTAACACGTCGAATAGGGAAAGTTATTTCAGGAAAATCAGTTGACAATCCAGAATTTTACACCTTTGAATTGACTTCTGTAAAGCCGGCTCCTCGGCATTCAGCATTAAACTATAGACTCAGTCCATTGTTCAAACCTGAGGACAATCCAAACTTGCCATATTTAAAACGCCGTAGAGTTCGTCCAATAATAGATGAAAAAATGTATTGGCTAAATGTAGAGTCAATACCTTGGTCTCGTATGAATTTTGTTAATGATTTAGGATTTGAGAGAAAAACGCCTAGAACGATGTGGAAAGACTGGGATATCGAATTTCCTGGAGATCTTTATTCACTTTGGGGATCAATGCATCCATTGGATAAAATATTTGATGAGAATCATAGAGGTAAACAATATTTATCCACCAGCGTAATAGCAATTGTCATGACTAAAGCTTGTAAGCTCAGTGCCTGGACTGGTAGTTTGTTAGACGGTATTGTTACAAACGGAGACAAGTATCACAGAAAGTGTTTGAATAAAATTGGTAACAGTCCTAACTATGAAATTGGTATAACAGACTTGGATACTAAGTTTGATGAAATGTTTCCTTATTCATTTACGGTAAAATTTGATAAAATAGTATTTGGATTCATATACAACATTTTTCCCGATCGGTTTAATTTGAGCAAGGCATTAGTTTACTTTTTTGAAAAGAATTCTCTTGGAATATTGACTAGTCCTACTAAAAATCTGGCCTTTGGTAAATCGGACGCCTCATATTTTATGTTCGATTGTCAAAGTTATGGTGCACCTTTGTTTTCCCCAGGCCAAGGTGCTTCATACATATTGAAATGTGAAAGTCTTAACAGACTCATATATTGTATGACATTAACTTTAAATATAAGACGACATGGTCAACAATTTCATTTATTTAGTGTGACTGTTGCACTTACAGAAAAAAGTAAATAAAATGGTTATAAATAATAATTTACATTTTCTTAACTAGCTGTACACGCGACTTCGTCCGCATGGAGTCTCACTTTATTTTTCTAAAATAAAGGTAGCCGAAGTTACTTTTTATTACATCAGCTACCTGCCAATAAAAGTCCTGTCAAAATAGGTCCAGCGCATTTCTGAGATTAGCCGGTACAAACAGACGGATAGACAAAAATTATAATAAATGTTATTTTGGTGTATGTACGGTACATACACCAAAATAACATTTATTTATATTTATGAATGTAGTAAAAAACGATTATTTCAATATTACAAACATACACTCCAATTTTATTTATGCATTTATGCATAGATAAGTACCTACTTAATCATGTTATTTACTTTAGCATTCATTACTTTGTACAGTATGTGTATGTCCGTTTATTTGGTATCTTTCACGACTATAGCTTAGTGTCTGTGTAAAATTTGACGTGACGATATATCTATATCTAAAAGTAAGGGTAAAAGTAACGTAAGGGTATATACCTATATCTAAAAAATGCAGACAGAAGTAGCGGTTAACAACTTTTCATTAATAATAACAAAGAATAATTCACACACACAGCACTATCTAACTAAAGCAAAGCTTGTATTATGGATATTAAACTAAGAGAAATACTTGTTTTAAAAATTATATAGTAATATAATAATAATAGTAATAATATATAATTATTATTATTATATACTACATAGGAAGCACCGAAAAGATAAAAACAATCATACTTATGGATATAAATGTTTGTATCAAGCAAGGAATCGAACCCACAACCATTATAGTAAGGCGGTGCTAAACCGCTAGACCACCGCGGCCGTCAAATCGGTATAGTACAGGCGACAATATTTATATCCGTATCATAAAGGTGTGTCATCATTTATTATCGGTATGTCCCGCGTATTCCCTGCGAGATAACGATTAATTTGAAATTACCTGATCTGAACACATAGGTCGATAGGGAATTACATAGGTATATTCAGCACTCACTGTTGTAGAGGTACTCATACAATGCTTTAGTTGATATCCCTGTAAAATAGATGGCCCATAATACTACAACTATGTGAAACCACCTTGTCTATTATGTGATCCAGTCCACAAATGAGAACAGTAAGTAGATTGAACAGTTGCGAATTTGCAAGCGTATATTGTCATTAAAATTGTTCAGATATTTAAGAATAATGAATAACATTACACAATTTTTGTATATATATTCTAACTACTAATTGACAAATTGAGTAGCTAGAGTAATTATTAATTGTATCCGAGCTAATATAGTTAGGGTTAGGGATATCCACCCTAACAGGGTGCACCTGTAGATGATGATAGGATGAGAATGAAGTCCAAGATTAATTTCATTAAGGGACACCACATGGAGATGGACCTGACTAGTATATTCCAATGGTTGGCACTATTTCCCACTCACTGAAGGGATAATAATTTATATTGTTTATGTTTTCCATCGAAATAGAAATCATTATTGTGTAAACCAGTAAAATTTATTGTATATATAAAGACACATGTGGATATTGGATTCATGACGATTATGTCACATATTTTTTTCTGTTGTACTGTAACAATAAAAAAAATATATTAAATATTACATGGAAATTTATAAATATTCATATATACAAAAAACTTTGCACATTGATCATATCATCCCTGATAACTATTACAGTAGTAGTTCATTGCAGGGTAATTGCAGAGTAAGGGTATATGAGGATATTTACCTATGATTGTGCACTTAGCTAAATAGTTTTTAATATTGTTTATTTTGAGTTTCCCTTCAAATAATTATTCCTTTAGTGATCTTTTAATGAAACCTGGTGATAAAAGTGAATAGTGAAATCTCACTGTTGAAACGGAGACTGAAATTCTATCATGAATTTTCTAGAATAATATTGTACAATATTTTGTATCTAATTTAAAGCTAGCAACAGGACATAACTAGAAAGTAAAAATTATCAATCTACACTTCATTTTCACAATTGATTTTATTATAACTGTAAAAATCTTAAAATACATAATGTACTGTTTTATTTAAATATAAGCATTATCACTACTATATTTATTCAAGATCAGGTAAATTCTCGTCGTCTGAATCACTTTCCAAATCGTCGAAGGATGGTTTGTCCGGCTTATCACCGGCGCCTGCTCCGCCACCCATTGACCGCAACATTTCCTCTATATCATATCCATTACCGCCGCCGCCTTCTTCTTCCTCGTCGTCTTCATCTCTCCACTTATTGAAGTCTATTTTAAGGTAATGCGGTTTCTTCTTATCCTTCGTTAAATTAGGCCAGTACGGCGCATCTTTCTTCTCTTTACGAAGCACCATTTCTATACATCTGCCTTTATTTACGTAGGCGCTATATTCTGGGATCACAGTTTCGTATAATGGTATAGTTACCTCATGTACTTTATTGTCAGGCACGTTGACACCTTTAAAATAAACGGAGTCCTTTTCTATTTTAATATTCGGATCTTTAGACTCGACGCTAAATGTTAGTAATACGTCTTCTTTGCGTTGAGCCCATAAGACCGGAGGTGGGACTGGTGTTTCTCCAGACATGATGATTATGAATGTTTTTAATAATTGTTAAAACACCACGTGAAAAATTGATCAAACGCAACCTTTAGTTACTGCCAAGGGTTACTGCAACTATTAAATTCACGATAATGTAACACTGGCATGAAAATTTCAAGCCGATTCTCGTCCGTGAACTGGGTTACCATATCATAATCGAATTACTACTACAAAGTCATTGTACTATTTTATGGTTACTGTAGTAAGTCACTATGGTACAAATAATCTTAACAATGAACGTTTGAACTGTGTAAAGAAATCTAATAATAGCAAAGTTTTCTAGTATCTATTAAATATAATGATGATTCAATGACACCTATTATTATAAATAAATTAGAATCATTTATTATTTGTAACAGATATTTTGTAGAGGGCAGTATTGTATTATAACGTCAATTTTTCATAAAGTATAAGGAATATAGAGGCAGTCAATAATATGGTACACACCACAAAGATTACAGTATGAAATATACATTACCGTACCTGGTATATATATATTTTTAAACCTAACTAGGAGTACTTCTAGGCACTGCTTAAGTAAAAATTTTGAGTAGTCACATAAGAATATATAAGATCGTGATCGTAACTTGACCCTATAGATTCGACACATTTTGACTTATGTTCTTAAGGTGTTAGACAAGGTCTTATCGCAATAACATTGCGATATCTGCAAAATTTGAACTACAACAAATTGGGGTATTTTTTTTATGGATGATAATGGAATGGAGAACCAGCCTGCGCTAATGGTTTACGCTGGCGGGGCACCAGTGGAGGATGATAAGATGAACATGAAGTCAGGTCAGTTAGCCCATCGTGACAAATTCACCAGGAATCTATAACGATGGTTTCCAGGGGGAACCGCGTGGTGGTCAACCTGACGTGGTACATTGCTAGTAATGGGGTCATGAGTCCACATTACTAACACTCCCCTTCCCAGGGGTAGTAGGGGATTGTTACTAATGTGGTCTCATGACCCCATTACATGTTCATCTTATCATCCTCGACTGGTGCCCCGCCAGTGTAAATCGTTAGCGCAGGCAGGTGCACCATTCCATTATCATCTATAAAAGGAAAGCTGTAAAGGCAAGCTACGGCCAACATTAGAGTAGTCCAAATAAAAAAATATGAATAATGAAATTCAAAAACTATAAAATTAAACAATATTTTAATGTTATTAATACTATATGGTATGGTAAGATCACTTTTCATCGGCTAGTACAATTTTTTTAATTTTACTTTTTTGTCTGTTATCTCTCATCAATACCCCAATTCTCAAGGAAACTTACTTCCCCGTTGCCATAAAATTTCTCTTATCTCTTATAATTGAATTCCTAATAAATAATATGTAATCCATGAATGAGTGGACTATTAATCCTTCCCTCTGTTAAGTATTCATTTATTATTTCTTAAAGATCATATACCAAATCAATTTGCTAATGAAGGAATGAACTGATGTAAAAAAAACAAGTGTTTCTATGGAATTGTATTATAAGTATAAATAACCAAAATAAACACGATGGTAGTACAATTTATGATATAGTTGTATTAATATATTTTGAATGTGTTATATTCACTTACATAACAATGTTGTGGATCGGCACTATATATTAATTAGAATAATCACAGTTATTAATTGAGAGTGGCAAATTCTCAACACTAAATCTATTCTAGACGATTTGACAATAAGGAGATTATGATCTAAATACCATAAGCATGGATGGTAATTACAATAGGAAACCAACACTTTACCAAGTAATGACATTGGAATTAAAATTATATTATCAATAAAGGTACACTATTAGAATTTTTATTTAAATGAATGATCTAATACTACATATTTCACTTCTACTGTCTTTTTTACGTTTGACGTAAACTACGTTTGCCGATTTGTCGGAATGAATATATTAAATAAATATTATGTAAATTGAACTTAATAAATTAACTTCCCTATTTACATTAAAAATAAAATAACGACTTAGAATCACAGACGAAACATCTAATTTAAGAATAGATCAGCATATTTTATTTCAAAAATATAACTAAAGTATATAGATGCTTTTGTATAATGATGGTACCTAACATGCCTAGGTATCTGGTGTAATAATGGTTATAGAATAAAAAACATCAATAATAGAGCAGAATAATATTCTTAAGATAAAGAAGTTATTATTTGTCCTAAGCACAAAGCTCGACTCAATGTCAGTCCTACAAATGTGCAAGTGACCTATGCAAAATAATTATTACAGTTAAATAATGCAAGCATCAATTAATTTTGAACTCATACAACTTCCGGTTGGAATATAACGGTTTCCTTTACAAGTGTATCAGACTGGTGCCAACAACTCTGTGAGCATGTGAAAATCAGAACAGATAAGAAGTGTAAGTGAGACAAATAAACATTATTTGGATGCAAACGTAATGTTTCGGCAAATTGTGGTACAAGCTGAAGTTCGCATATAAGTCTGGAGCCGCAGCGGAGACAGAGGGTGGGCACACACGGCGACTCTGGAGTGCTTGCTGTACTTGGCAATGGGGCACCTAACAAAGGAGGTTCATCTCGGGTATATCTGTGATCAAAAATATAAAAAAAATATATTTTCTTGTATTAACTTATTATTTAATCATTCAACTCAAAATTAGTTTGTACACCAAAATTTATAAATGGATGGTTACAAACATTATATTCAACCATATTGAATGGCATTATATCTTAGGAGAAATAACTAATGTGTGCAACAGTTTCGATAATTAATCTATATTAAAATACACGGTTTAGGCAATTCCCAGCATTAAGAGCATATGACTATGACTATTTGTTTACTTCCAAACTGCACTGGTTTGGAAGTAAACAAATAATCATAATCTGGATACACTTAGTCTGGATTACTACTAATACTTAGTATATCTATTTTCTCATCTCATTTCTTACCTAAGTATTTGGCCAGGATTAGTTTGCAAGCGAGTTATAAATGTATGAAACATTCGGTCTCCATGTAAAGGAGTTGTTTCTTCGTATGGTTCATCTTCAGGTCCACCACCACCGCCACCCACATGATCACCACTGCAAGCTTCTATTTCTATAACAATATACAATTACTTTAAATGTTCTTCAACATTATTACTATAATTTAGACTAAATAGCTTAATGAAAAAATGTACATGATAAAAAAAAAGAAAATGTTGAGCATATGGTCGCCACTTAGGATTAGTAATGCTTAAAAAGAGAAAAGACACCCTCATTGTGGTAATAGTTTAGATAATTAAATAAATTGTAAAAGTTCACTTCTACTGCTTACCATTTTCCCTTCTATATTTGTTCAGTAATTCATTCACTTTGTCATCATTATTAGCAGTTGATTTCCATTCTTCTTCTACAAAAATATATTTAGGTATAAATTGTAATGGCCCACACATGAGTTTGTTTCTTAAATCGGTTGGAAGTTCAGCTGTCTGAAATATGTTTTAATAATTTTTCATCATGACTACCTAGTTAAGATTTTAGCCTACTACTGGCTCGCGCGTCCAGGCGGCTTGGCACATGATTTATTACATCATTATTGGTTTCAACTAATATAATGTTTATGTTGTGAAATTCTTACTTGGTGTAAAAGAGCTTCAACATCATTGTTGGGTGCTGTAGGTGTATCCACTGTGACTAATCCAGGCTCATCTCCTCCTTCCAGTTCAGCCGCTGCTACTGGGGCACCAATAGCACCCACAGCTCCTACAGTATGTTTATTAAACTTTTGAGTTTTTACAAAATATTATTAGCATTATAAAATAAGAAAAGTAATGTTTGTTGACAAGCAACATATATATTTTAGACATAACTTGACCAGACAGATTAGATATTAAACAGCTTAAGATATTTCGTCATGTACATACATTTTTATTATATGACATTAAATATAATCATTAGAATTTATAAAGAGTTTGATCAGATTGTGCCTAAATTAAAAAAAGACTGACTCTGATATTCTCAGTATTAACTATATTGGACTAGATATTGAGATTGGGACTATACATATAGAAGCTTGCAATACTCTAAATGAATCTAAAATGTACCTTGAACAGGTGACATGTTTGCATTGTGTGCATCAAACATCTGAAGGTTGCCAAAAGCTTGTTCCACAGATTCTAATTCAAACGAATTGCTTTCCTCATCTTCATCTGATTGTCTGCAACAAGATTCTTCAGATAAATTATTGGAAATTTAATAATTAATATATAATTATACATTACTAAGGAATATTATTTTACAAAGATTTGATTTGTGTATACTATTCCATAATATGATTTGTAATGTATAATTATCCAGATAATAACTTTTTATTGTCTAACAATTGGGCCAGAGAAGTCTTGATATATTAATGCCTTCCTTGATAGCCTTTTGTGATCCAGGATATTAAAGGTAATCATCCTATTCCACCACACATTTTTTACTATATTTATATAAGGTAACAAATAAAAAAGATAGAATTAGATAATAAAATTAGTTTTACCTCTGTAATGCATTACTTGGACTTTGTGCATTATCAACATTCATAACATTGCCATTAGCTGTATCTCCATTATCATTTTCATCCCACTCATCAGCACCATTACACCAAGAAAGATTTGTGTCTACATTCGGCATAACCACAATTGTACTGGATTCTGTTGGTACAGTCTCTTGAATTTGACTTCGGACACATAGCCAGCTGTTATTAAAAAAATATATATTACTTACAATTGCGTTTATTATTGTTGTTATAATTTTAGATCTTTATATATTTTATTTATAGTAATTATATATATATATATATAACTTTAATAAAAATCTGTTGTAATGGTCTCAGTAATGATTTATTTATTAATCTTATTTAATAGTATTACCCATTTTTAATAGTCTAAATGTCTAATATTATTAGGTTGTTCGGAAAGTAATTTAGTTTTTTCCTGGCAGAGGATTTAGTTGTATTTTTTTGCACCCAGTTCACACTTAAGCCATATAATTTTTATATGGTTTCAGAGGTCATATAGCAAGGCCTGTGTGAGAAAAATATCAATTAATTCTTATTTTTGGTTGGTGCACTGGAGATCCATATTTAAAATTAAACAGTTTATGACCACTTGAAAGGCCTGGGATGTTATTATAAGTGTTGTTATTCGCCGGTTCAGTGTATCGCGTCTTTATTACCAAAAGCTACATCAAAATTTAGCATAGAATTAACAGATGTACTGTTAACACACCTTCTCCATACACACACAACAGCCTTGCAGTAAACTAGCAAAATACTGCTTGTGTGTTGTATATAAGCTCTCAAACCATATAAAAATTATACAGCTTAAGTGTGAAGTTGAGTGCAAAAATACGAATAAATCCTCTGTCATGAATAAACAAAATTACTTTCCGAACAACCTAATAATTCTAAATACATGTATTTTTGCTACTTTAAAATCATTCAATAATAGATTAATACAAAATTATATACGTTTTTTAGATATTACAATAAAATATTTTAAATTTAGATCACATAGTTCACAAAAAACAGTGAGTTTCTCATTTCATAGTGCTTTATATTGTTAAAAATGTATTGTTATTTTTAAAACAAATATATGTGTCTGATAAAAAAATGCATCTAAATTTCCTTCAATATACAACTATAATAATACCATATACTTAAAGAAGTTTTACAGTCTACAAAAAATATTTTTTATGTGTTAGCACAGACAAAATTAAAACTGTAATTATGTATTTATTCATTTACTTATGTTTCATAAAAAAAGTCAACTTGAAACTACTAAAACAATCCCATCTCAATTGTAGGTAGGTCAGGTCAGTTAGTGCATTGTGCTAAATTCACCAGAAATTATTACAATAATTTCCAGGGAGAACTGCATGGAGTTCAATCTGACACTTCTCTATCACTTGGTTTTTTTTTTGTGGATGATAATGGAATGGTGCACCCTCCTGCGCTAACGGTTTACGCTGGCGGGGCACCAGTGGAGGATGATAAGATGAGCATGAGGTCAGGTCAGTTAGCCCATTGTGACAGATTCACCAGGAATTTAACACGATGGTTTCCAGGGGGAACCGCGTGGAGGTCGACCTGACATGGTACATTGCTAGCGATGGGGTTATCAATCCACATTACTAACAATCCCCTTCCACCCTCTATCACTTGGTTAATACTATATATAATTATATTTGTAATAAATATTATTATTATTATTAAAATTACCTTTCAGACTGGATCCAACAGTTGGGGCTAATACATGCAAATATGTATATTGTGCGGTGATATATGGAATTTTCAAGTGGAGCATAACATTGTACGATCAATAATCTGTTTAATCCACATAAAGGGCACTTAGTAGAAAAGTGCAAGTTAGATAATGGAGGCCAATTCTGCAAATAAAAGTAGTAATTTTTTTAGAGTATAGCAGAGTTGCACTTATCTTTTCATTTAATACTAAACCAAATTAATTACATACGGGTAATCCGCCGATTTTGTTGACTGTGTAATTGAGTAAGGTTTGATTTTTCTCTCCAATTGTTTCTTCCTCGTATCCTAAATAAACTCTACCTTGTTGTTTTGCCATATTGTAACAGGTAATCAAGGCAGGTAACTAATTCATTAATTATTTATTTGATAATTATGACAAGAATTTTATTTAAACCATAAGACAAAAATGTGAAAAAAGATGAAAACAAATCAAATTAAAGGTTTCGTTCGGTGTTGCCAACCTTGAAATTATTTCTCCTAAAAAGCAGTTGAAAATTTGTGCATTGTTAGATGTATATATAATAAAACATAACAAAACATAGTAATTATATGATCAAGAACTTTTTACACAAAAAATTCATACAACAGCAGTATTAAAAAGTATCTCCAAAAAAACTATGGCAAAAGGTTATATACCAAGGACCATTGTACCTATAATATACGATATTAAAGCAATCGATGAAATACAGAGTTTATTAAATATTCTGTACGAATAATATATATAATCCTCTACCATATGTAATATTTGCCAATCCACGAGGAATTTATCGCGATTGTTTCCAGATGAAACCGCGTGGAGGTAAACCTGACGTTATCTATTAACAATCCCTTTCTTCTACATATAACGGGTTTTTTTGTAATGGCAATGGTGTATGGTCACAGATAAGATGATTTTTTTTAAGGGATGATAAAGGAATGGTCCTCGCCTGCGCTAACGGTTTACGCTGGCGGGGCATTGGTAGAGGATGATAAGATGAACATGAGGTCAGGTCAGTTAGCCCACTGTGATAAATTCAACAGGAATTTATCACGATGGTTTCCAGGGGGAACCGCGTGGAGGTCAACCTAGCATGGTACATTGCTAGTAATGGGGTCATCCACATTATTAACAATCCCCTTTCCTCCCCCAGATAAGATGATATTACATAGTATGCTGCACCCGCCTACGTTAATGGTATACGATGCCGAAGCACCAGTGGAGGATGATAAGATGAACATGGGGTCATATCAGTTAGAGTTCAGGAGTCAGGTCAGTTAATAAATTTACCAGAAATTTATCACGAAGGTTTCCAGGGGAACAGTGTGGAGGTCAACCTGACATACAACTGGTATTTACTGACGGAGTCAGTATATACCGTTAGTACATAATTGGGAGAAAGGACTCCAAATAATTAGGACTATTGTCCCTGTTGCTATAATGTGTAATGTTAGATTAAACCCCACGATTCCCGGTGACTTCAACGAGATGGACTTAATGATCTGACTGACTTCATACTACACATACTATAATTAACATTCGGGAAGGCAGGAATTCACCTCTCTGACTCTGAAAAAAGATCCTTCATATTTTTTAGGGAATGGTATAGGAATGCTACATAAACATAATAACACAATGTATCCTACCTAGAATATTAACAGTTTTAACATAAACACACTAAACGGAGTGTGAAAAAAAATAATCTACATTAAAATAAACTTAATAAGCAATTAAAATAGTTATATTTTTTTATTCTAACATTCATTCGGAACGCAGGTATTAAGTAGGTATTTAATTATTCAAATTCTAATAGAGAAAACAATCAATTACTTAGTGTTAGGACAACTATTAATGTAGTTTCAATAGTCATGACGTTAATTAACCTTGAAATATAGGTACAGATTAAAGTATGAATCTATTTAATATCTTAATATGGATGGATACCTCTACCTATATACCTAATTGGAAAAAGGCATAACCAAAATTATGGCTTAGTCATTAATTATGATATCAAAGTTTTAATAAAATGTAACCAAATTTTTATTCAATCTTGCTCAATTAATGCCGACTAGGAATTGTAAATGGAAATGTTATTGCAAAATTTTTTTACCTAGAAGACTTTACGATTGTGACATTCACAATTTTTATGGTAAATCAACATGAAAGTAATGTAAATATAGACATACAATACTACGTACCTGCGTTTACATTTTTTTCATATTGGTTTAATTGCATCAATGTCTCTTTAGTTTGAAGATACTCTCCTTGATATCAAACCAGCAATACCAGCCAGCTAAAATTTTGGGACCGCAACGTGCATGTCAAATGAACTGTGTCATTATGTATTCGTCATGCTATATAGAGGCAGGTGATATCCTTAATAACGATTGCATTATCTTTTGCCATACTTAACAGTTTATTGGTTTGATATGGGTCGGTCATTGCCCAAGGATGATGCGTGGGAGATACCTACGTAGTTCTTACAATATTCGGCAGAGAGCATCAGATGTTATTCGGATTGTATCAGATACAGGTGTTTTTGTACGAATAGCCTTTAATGTAATTTATTCATTATAACTTAGTATTGTTGTTATTTTCAATTATAAAAAATATAATGGAAGGCGTGACAAAGTTATTTCTTTATAAGATTGTGTTGGTTAGTAATAGTTGTACTAAATATTTTAATTTTAAGGTAACTTAAAATACTTTTCATAAATTCGTTTGAATATGGAATATATAATTTTTGGATTCAAACTAATTTAGAAGTAGGTACATACAATAATAAATTGTGATTTAAATTTCACGACTTATCTGTGTCAAATCAATGTGTGATATCTATATACCTACCAGGCTACAGAAGTCACAACGCAGATAGTATAGTTCTCAAATTCAATCATGCATATTAGTACATTAGAACATAGTTAGGAATTTTACATATTAAATTAATATTGTGAAGAGTGAAAAATATCCTCCTAATAGAGGAAATAATCAACTAAAAATTACTATACTATACCTACAATTTATTTAATGAATAAAATATATTGCTGATTTATTGTTTAAATTTATAGATTACCATCAATACATGGTAAATTATCTATAAATTTAAATTCGTACGTAGCCGCTGAATTATGAAGTTTTAGAGGCAGCTTCTTGACAAAATTTACTAGAAACTTTATGAATAGCAAACTGAATTAATATTTAAAAAATATAATACTTTATATATATTTTCTACAGTCATGTTTATTAGCCGAGACGCTGCATGCCACTACAGTGAATCCTGCCCGCTGTCCAACAAATAAAATAGCTCCACATCGCCACATTCCAAGTTTGGGATACAACAGGGCACGAACCTTTGGTGGAGCTTTTATAGATTTGCTCACTCCCGACCTGAATTTCCAGAATGGAGCAGAAAATGATCTACAAGAGAAACCCCAAGAAGAGGATGACGATTGCGGTGAAATAGAAGATTATGATGAAACTGATATTGGTTCATGTGAGTTTGTTCCTAGTCATATTGTTCATGGATGTAGTAAAAAGGCAAATAAGAGTTGATATTATTGAGTTAGTAAGATTTCATATGGTATTATTTGGATTGTTACAATGTAAACAGAGAATAATAGCTAAATACCAGTGCTGCATACAAAATTCATTACATATACCTAATTAGTACGCAGCAGCAGCAGCTTATGCTGAGGCTACAGTTTCAGATTATTTAAAGTTATTTTTTATTTTTATTATTATTTTATATATATTTAAGATAGGTACTTATATCTTTCTTAATTTCATACACGTAGGCCAATGTATTTTTGTTTACCCTTTATCTAATTAAATTAATTAATTTCAGTGACGACTCAATCGCAAAGGAGAAATGGTCATGAAGAGAATAGATTTTTCTTTGGACTATTTAATAATGTAGGACAACGGCCTCCCAATACAGCAACAACTAGAGTCACTCAGATGCCGGGTACCAGCTATCGACCACAGAATCAACATCCGCAGGGCTCGTACCCTCCTACAAGACCGCCGTATTGGTCCGGAGGACACTTCGGGAATAATGTTTACCGGCCACCTCAAGCTCAAGACCCATCTGGTTTGTAATAATAAATGGTTTTTAATACATTAAAGAAGATGGGAGTGAATGATGAGTGACAAAGGGAGATTTCATACTAGGATTATTTTTAAATTAAATTCTAAGCTTTATAATTCGTTTTAGAACACCGTCTAAAACGAATTATAAAGCTTAGAATGATTAAATAACACTTTTATGATATATGCTCGTTTAGAGGTAGGTTTAAGTACATCTACATTGTTTGGTGTCCCGTAACAGCTTGCAATATGAAGGTGCTTTTAACAATGAAATTATGTGGGTAAGAAGGAATTGGGCGTATCCTTAGGAATATCAGAGTATGGCTATGGGCGTTCCTATTTTGAAGTATTTTTAATAGACAAATATTAGAACATAATTATTATTATTAAATATAAAAATAACTTCAATAAACTTAAATATAACATACTAGTAATAAATATATTATTCTTTAGAACTACTCCAGTAACATAGAAAATATAATTATAATATATTTTAATTTATTTAAAGTTAACATTGGGTCTAATATGTACAAAGCAAATTATTTTGCTTTATCGCTGGTAGACTAGAATGGTAGGTATACCTATCAATTAAAGTAATTAGTACGACCTCGGTGGTCTAACGGTCTAGCACACTGCTTTACGTCCGATGGTCGCGGGTTCGATTCCTCGCACGGCACAAACATTTGTATTCATGAGTATGATTGTTTGTGTCGGTCTGGGTGTTTTCTATGTATATTATGTATGTATTTACGAAAAAAAATCTATGTATTTGTATCAGTTATCTAGTACCCATAACACAAGCTTTAGCTAGTTTAACTTGGGTCTAGATGGCGCTGTATGAATTGTCCCGAGATTATTATTATTATTATTATATATAATATTGGCTAAATACAAGATTAGGTATTACACAGAGTCAAGGTTCTTCTAATGTTTAAAATTAAAAGTAGGTATTAACTATCTACTGTTGATTGCTGATTGATTGAATGTACCATGTGTGGCATGGTATAATGGCAATATATATAAATATGTATTAGAGTCCACAGGCTTTATGTTTAATAAAAGAACGTGATATCTATAAACCTACTATTTTGTTTTTCAGATAATGTTAAACCAGTGCACGAGTATTCTGATATCCAGATGAATTATTGGCCGGGTATTGTAGGCGGACTTGTTTCTAATATCTTTCCCGCGTCTCCAGCAAGACCGTCCGTTGGTTCTACGACACAAAGACCGCCAGCGCGCCCTCCATATATAAATTTTGAACAATCGACTAGACGACCAAGACAAAGAGGAATAAACAATGACAACAACATAATACGATCATTTTTTGATTTATTTTTTTAAAATAAAGTTTTGTTTTAACTTCTTTGTTTATATTTTTATCATAGAAACATGCAGTGGCCTTTTTGTTTCCATTGGATCGCGCGATAAATCGAGACAGGCATAATAGTAACCTTCGTAGAAATATTTGACCTTTAGTGAAGCGTGTATTTCGCCATTCTGACATGAGAGAGTTCCTTATTTTGAAAGGATATTAAATTAGCATTATATAACATAAGTATTGCAAGTATTTACCATTATAGGCATTCACTGTCAATTTGCTAGTCGTAAATACGAAGTTAGATATCCATGTAGGCGGACAAGCTGTACAACATACTGTAAGAGTCATAAAGTGTTTCCTAATGGAGACCGCGTGACAGACGCCACTTAAGGGATGGTCTGGATGGGCCACGTGCCATTTTATTTTTCGCTCATTTACCTCAAATCATTACAGCCATAGAATGATATCACCGCGTTTGTAGTGAGCTCGCAAAGTCGTAAATATCTACAATGTTTTGAAACGATTCAAAAGCGCGCCTGTGAACTTAGTGGTTGTTGTTTCAGTGTTGATACAGTGCTGCGTATACAAAAATGTATTTAATTAGTTACACATTAATGTGGATAATAATGGATATGATAGTAAATGCAGGTATATCTAACTACATATGTTGTTATTTTTTAGTAATTTACTTAGACATGTGTTTTTCAGATATTTTGCTAAAACGTATTTTTAGTTTAAATATATTATACCATTACATGTGATAATATCCCAGTAATTTTCTACGTTTGTGTGTCTGGCTGTTATAATGAACGATTTTTAGTTTAAATATATTATACCTAAATATATGTGCATATGATAACATATATGTGCATGATACATATACATATGTACATAAAAATCTTCTGGAAGAAATTTCTAAAATTGTGAAAACCGTCTCAAAATCTGTTACGAGGTTTAACGGTAATAAAGGGAGAAACAGACAGATGATAACGGTGACTTTGCTATGTTTGTTTATAATACTTTTTGCCCAATAGTTAAAAGACAATAAATAATTCGAAGCTTTTTAAGGGCAGGTTGCGTTCTTTTCTGTTGGAACAGTCTTTTTACAGTGTTGATGATTTCTTAGCAGCAAAAATTATATTATATAAATACAATATAATATATATATAGGTATAATTTCAAACAATACAAATTGTTACTGAATAAGTAAATAAATTTTATTTGAACAAGATATTTCATAACATAGTAAGTTATACGCCAATAGGCAAGTGTGTGTATCTCGACGAGATCCTAGGAAATGATTGATAGTAATATCACAGATAACATAATATTATATAGTAATTCGATTAAAATATGAATCGTTGGAAATAACCTGTACCTAATCATATTTTATATTTAATAATAAGTCGAATGTAATTAGTGGTGTAAAATACTGTGCAGGAAAACAAAACAATAAAACAGATCGCCAATCGATCGAGAACGCACCGAATTCTCTATTTGAAATTTATGACGTTTAATGTTAAAAAGGTTTTATACTAGTTTTATTGGTGTAAAAATTAATATATTCATAACCAAGTATTATATTAAAAGCTAAACAAATTTGTAGATTTTTTACAACCTCAAGATTGGCTGTGATCATTTATTTTGCATTACAATAAGGGAATGAACGTATTGTACTAATTCGTTACTATGGACCACCTATTGTGAAAAACTTTAGATTCTGAGTCTTGCTTTGTAATGTGTTTTTAACGAATAGAAGCAATTGTTTATCTCAATACACGCAGATATAATCGCGAGACATAGCTAGTACTATATAAAATAAAATTATACAAATCGCGATGCACACAGAAAGTAATGGACTTCGAATGGTCTTTCGACCTAGTCTTCTAAGACTTATGAAAGAGAAGCATACGCTTTAGTTCTTAGATAAATCAAATAAATTTGTTTAAGCTTTTGTGTCTTATCGTTGGTAGACCTACTCACGCAGTGATTTATGGAAATTACAACTATTTGAATAACATTTAAAGATAGTGAATTGGAGACATAAATATTTAAGATTAATGTCACTAGGTTAATGATTTTTAATATTAGAGATTTAATATTTATCCTTATAATTTGGTACAAGCTGTTTATTGATTATAATGATTTAATGCATTTAAATAACGCTTGTGTATTTTATAATTTGTAATTGCGGGATATTTTTGTAATAATCATACCAATTTAAAATTGTTTTTTAGCATAAGCAATTGTAACCAAAAAATAATGTAACACAAAGGTGTTATTCAGTATTTTAGATTAATACATTTTGGCAGTCAAATTACTTATTCATCTTCTAAACCTTATTGAAGTTTTATACATTGTTGTAAGTCATGTAATTATTAGGTATCTACATATATTAATGCTTGGTCATCTTTATTTATTTATTTATACTGAATTGTCTGTTACTTTTTTTCTCTTTAGAATCTATTTCCCAAAACGGTATAGAGAATTCAATGCAAGAGTACTTAGCTTTATTATCATATTATTTCTTGGTTTACGGCAAAAGTTAATTATCTAATCATTGAATTACTCCTAAACATATTTAAATTTAATCCATATCTCAAAATAACCCTGTATTTTTTTATAAATCTAGAGCAAAGTTCGTTAAATTGATAATATTGCATTCTTACAACGAACAACAGCATTGGGAGGGGTGCCATCCCAAGTCACCACTGTAGTGAGTAAAGCAGAGTGAATGCCTTGGCATTCGGTAATTGTCGTAATCTAATAGTAAAAATAGTTAAATATTTATGCTACGTGTCGTGTGCGACGGCGCGGCGCTAGCATTTGATATGTCCACATTTCTCAGAACAGATATAAACTTTGTGGTAGGTGAATTTGATTTGATACGATCGTTTATACTTACTTATAGACGTAAATCCCTATATGCGCGCGCTAAACACGCGTCCGTGGCAGAGCATACAGGACTATGTAATGGTTCGTCCTGGAGCTTACATATTTTACTGGCTCTATTACGCTGATGGAACTAGGGATGGTGCTGAACAAAAGCCACTTATAATATGGGTACAGGGTGGGCCTGGTTTTGCTGCAAGTGGAATAGCAAATTTTGCAGAAATAGGCCCGCTCAGTATGGATTGGCAGCCGCGTAATCACACGTGGGTGAGTATTATGTCGTCATTGGACAGTAAGATCGCCTTAAGTATAAGATCCAGTAACGAGTTACGATTAGATTTTTTATTAATGATAATGGGCACTGGGGAGTGGTGCATCCGTTTGAGCTAAAGGTATACGCAGTGGAAAATTATGAGATACGGATGAAGTCAGTTCAGTTGATCCATCGTTCATCTAACAATTACTTTACCATTCTCTTAATAATATTGCAATTTGAATGGAAACAAAAATTTCCCCGTCACAACATAAGTAAATATTTAATAATATCTTTATTGTTTACATTTCTGTCATTTTATATTTAGGTAAAAGGGAGAAACGTATTGTTAATAGACCACCCAGTGGGTACCGGATTCAGTTATGTTAAAAACAGGTCATTGCTTGTAAAAACGGATCAAGAAGCAGGTGAGTGCATTAAATCTTGACTATTTTTTATATTTAAGAAAAGGGATTCAGATTCCCTTAGTGAGTTTTTTGTCAGTTTCTCTAAAATATTAGAGTATCTACCTATTTTTGGACAAGTAATTAGAGTCGTAAAGAATATGCTTTAAAAACAAAACTAACGAAAGTAGATAAAATAATACAACTAGTATGAAACAGAGGGCGTTATAGCATTTCAGAATTAGGATTCACCGTAATAGTTGTTCTTGTTCTTGAGTGTGTGTGACATATCATGGCGGACTAACTGTACCATGTAGTCGATACAATATAATGCTACCATTACTTAATTATTTTAATGTTGTAAATTTAGGAAGCAACGATTATTATCTATTTCTTTTTTTAAAAGCACCTGTGTGAATTGTTTAACATAATACTCCCTATTGTTTTATTATTCTCAGCTATCGACCTCTCGAAAACTATAAAGGCCTTCTTTAGAACACATAAAGGATTTCGTAAAACGCCTACTTATATTTTTGGCCAAAGTTATGGTGGCAAACTATGTCCTAGGCTGGGATTTTATTTACATACGGTTTGTATCCTAAACATTATCATTGTATTAAATATCAAGGATGTAAAATACTTATATTAACTAAAATTACGTAAAGAGAAAGGATAATTTTAATGTTGAAATTTGCTGGTTTTGTTGTATAATACAATGCTAACTTAGAGCTTATAGCATACATACCACTTGGGAGACTACTAGTGACTAGTGACGATCATATGGATGCACTTCAGTATACAAAATATTTACATCTAGATACGTCGCTTGTACGTAGATAAATAGTATTTAATAGACCCTAAGAAGTACCAATACATACACAATTATATATATATAATAATATAAATTTATTTTAGGCAATTGAGAAAAAGCGTCTAAAAATGAATTTGAAAGGACTTGGCATTGGCAGCGGATTTGTAGACCCAAAGGAGAGTGCCTTGGTTTATTCAGATTTCCTCTATAACATGGTAAAAAATATTTAAAATAGGTAGAAGCTAACAATTATTTAGTACCTAGACATAAATACCAATTTACAACATCCATTGCATGAAATAATGATTAGTCACAACAAGCTCATAAAAGGACCTCCTCGTGTCAAGTCATCTGTATCCTACCATATTTAAACCTATTTCTTTTATGAAGTTGCTATAAATACGGATATATTGTAATTCAGTTCAAGTTGTGACCCAAGATTAGGCATTGTGTCAAAAGTATCTATATCAAAATCTATCTATACGAAAGTGATGCTTGTGGTTATGAGGCGGATCGTACCTTTTAAGTCATATAAAAAATAAAATAAGTAATTATACATTTTAGGGTGTCATCGATCAAACTACATATTTAAAAGGTATGACTATTGCAAGAAAATTGTGCTCCCATATTGACAAGAAGGAATACGTTATGGCTGGAGAATGGGATAGAGTTTTATTTGAAACCCTTCGTAATGAATCTGGGATGGAAATTAACTTTAACAATATTAATCAAATTAGTCCGTACCCTGCTTTAGAATTGCTAGAGAAAAACATAAACATGTACGTAAAACCAACACTCGTTAGTGTAGTGAACCAGAGTTTGGAATGGAAATATATATCTCATGCCGTTTTTTATAACTTAAATGATAATTTTCTAGTTCCCTCTACAAAATTCTGTAAGTAACTCTATTTTTTTATATAAGTATTTATCATTCTGCCTATTCATACCATCAATTGAACAATTTAGAAGGTATAATTTCTAAGAGTTCAGTATATTTCAGTAAAACCAGATCGATGAAAACAAAATTTGATAGAATTAGATTTATTATTATAACAGTACACAGAAGTAAGAATGTACAATTAAATTAATGAAATCGCAAGTAAATATTATTACGTATGAGTTCTTGAACGTTTGGATATTTGCTATTGAATAATATTACCTACAATTTGCAATAAAGTCAAAATTTGTTACCTTTATATCTAGTATCATACTCGTATACACAGAAAAATGTGACGGATTGAGAACCTTCTTTGAATTTGGGTAATGGTTAATATATTTTTAATGGATGGATGGATTTGAAGTTACATTATGTATTCCTGAATGTCTTATTTTATTTTTTCAGTAGAAATGCTACTAAATAATACTAATTTGAAGATAAGCGTATATAATGGGAATTTAGACGTCGTTACACCACTAGCTGGTAAGTGTTTTTACTCGTCATTGATTGTGAACAAGCCGATACAATCTAGGATAGTTGTTGTTAAAGTTACATCCACAGAAGCACCAAAGAAAAGCTTTGAAGTCAGAATAAGTGGCATAAACATAGTAGTGCTGCGCAGTAAGTCAGAGGGCGTTAAATATTCACTCGTGACCAGTAGTTTGGGAACTACCTACTTCTCCTGGTTTTCTATTTTTAAAACTTTTGTATAAATATACAAGTCGCACGATCACTTTAGTCCGTGTATCTAATTGATTTTAGATAGATTAGCAATCTTTGTGATTATTTATTCGATATGTAAGTTCTTTTCTCTTAAAATCATTATCGATCGGAGTTAACTAGGCTTTGTAAAATCGATTTGGTAACTACAATTTCTACCGAAAATTTGTCTTGAATATTGATGTACCTAGTACCATTTCAGCTATAACTTGAGATAATATAAGCGCAACAGCGATGCACATCTTCTGGATATATTCTATTGTGTAACAAAGAAACGAGTATGATATATACACCTACAGACTGTAGATGCATTCAACACGTGTCGCAACTGCGCACTAGCTAGTACTTACCTAAAATGGTGAAACGAAAGGAGATGGTTGAAATATCAATTTCAACATCTCACAACAAGTCAGACATTGTTTAATAAAAGATGATTCATATTTCAGTATTTATAAAAATTATTTAAGAAAAGTTTGCGAATTCAAATCTGGCAGATACCAAAAAATGTATAGATAGAATATTCACTTATATTCCTGACTAATTCTTCGGTGAACTGATAATAAAAAACGTACAACGAAACAAAATTTTTATTAATCGTTGGTTCGCAGTCACTTATGTTAATAAAGATGCCCCATAATACTTATTCTCATATAGGTATCTTTCATCTACAGATTAGGAAGGAATTATTTACATTTTTAATAATATACATAAAATATAAATAACTTACTTTTATTTTAGGAGCATCGAATTGGGCACACAAGTTGAAGTGGCATGGGGCACAAGATTTTAAGAATGCCAAAAGAAATAAAATACGTGGCATTAGAAATGGATTTTATAAGGAGGCAAAACATTTGAGTTTTTGGTGGGTCTTTGGTTCCGGACATTGGGTGAGATAATTATCATAATACCTAAATTTATCCTAAACATTTTAAGTTGTAAGCTTTTTCTTATGTTTCGGTGTTCACAGGTACCTGAAGATAATCCTGAAGCAATGGACCACATACTAGAACACATTATGTCAGATGATGTAAAATAGAGGGAATACATGTCTACAGATTTATTACATGTTAAGAACATGAACAATATTATTAAAACAAGAAATATCGAATTTTTATCAATTTAATCGAATTGTCACTATAAATAATGTTTATTATACATTTATATATTTGGCTAAATAATATATACAAAGACAGTTAAAATTTATACTTCATTATAAATATCTAATATATACATTATTTTTAAGCACCACGCTGAGATTATATACATAAAAAAACTCATATAGCTACTATTTCAGCGAAATACTTTACCGCTGTCTATGGCAGTATATTTTATTTGTATATAATTATGTTTGGATTAAATCAGTCTCTTATTTACTAACAATTGTATTATATTATTAATTAATTTCTACCATTCACTATTTATTTACACAGTCATTTTATAGACCGTTATTTAGTAATAGTTTAGTGTTATATATATAAAAGAAAAGATTAGATTGTACCTACAGATTTCTGTGAGCTCATAATATTAACACCAATAGTCTAATTGTTTGCCAATGCAGTATAATAAATAGCATTTAATTTTGCCCTATTGCGTTTGAAATAATTTAACTTTCTTTACATTTACACGCTTTGGTCCCGAGGCATTCGCGAGAACTTTATGAATAATTTGGCACGCTATAAGACAAACACTGATATCCAATAGCATGAGTATAAAAGACATTAGAAATATCATGAAAAAATATTATATCATAAATTAAAATATACTATCGTCATATTGACGATCTTAATGTAGCAGCAGTTTAACACAAATACTGATGGTCGGGAATTCCAAACGCAATGCAAACATTTGTGTCGATGAGTAGAACTTTGTATGTACTTGGGTAGAAAAATTATGTATTTAAATATTTCTGAGTTTTAGTGCTTATTGTACAAACGCTGCTTAGACGCTTTGGGACTACCATAGAGGCTGAGTTGGTAATTTTTATTTTTATTTTATTGTAGTCATACCGTAGTATAAGTGGTTACTATGTCAGCCGCACCTCTGCGTAACAGGCATCGCAAACTCGCACCGGTTTCGTGCTTCCTGAAAGTGCTACAGTTTTTTCGCTGCACGCGCCGCAGAATATATGTCCACAACGCCTGCAATGATGCTGGAACAAAAGGACTGAATGTTTATCAATATTTTTAAACAACAATGATCCGAAACCAGATTGATTTTTTGTTATTGGAAAAATTTAAAAGTTAAATTGTAAAATAAGTATTGTAAAATAAGTTTATCTTGTAATAAATAACTTACTTAGTAATTGAACTTACTTTTTACTTCCATACAAATGTTTGGGAATTGTCATTAATTTAATGGGTGTTTGTTTTATAGATTCATTTGTACCGCTTTTTATTAAAGATAATGTTTAGGACTTTTTAGTTATCCACTAGTTTATTATATTCTCATAATAACTTCCCGATGGAGTATGTCAAGAACCGAGAGTCTACGAAATAAAATAACGTCACACCAAAAAATAAATATATTGGATGTTGGTGCCATACAAAGTGTTTTAGCCGATCTTTCAGATAGTGCGACTAAGTGAGCAATTTGCTCACTGAGAAGTGATGTAATTATCAGTTTCAGGGTACAATGGGACTGGCATGTGTTTTTTTGTAAGTTTGTAAAAAAAATTATAAAAAGATATTTTATAGATGTACCTTTCGCCTAGTAATATTGAATTCCTTAGCACAGGCTGTGCATGCAAATGCATCTTTGTCGCTCGTCCAATTTGACGCGTTGTCTTCGGCTGTTGTTGAACTAGCTTCCTTTTCTAGCATTTCTGCTAGCTGCAGTTTGTTCTCACTTAACGTAACACCCATTTCTTCTAATGTTTTTTGTGCCTCACTATATTGCGTCTTGAGTATGTGCTGTTCCTCTTGTAATGATACATACTTCTAAAATATAAACGAAAATAAAAATAAAATATAGTTCTATCGGAATATGGGAAATATGGATGCACTGTTTTTAAATAAAAAGCGAATTCGTGCTACACATTTACTTTGGCTGATCCCGACATTTTACAATACAAACTCCGCTTTTACAAAATGCACAAAGTACGTTATAAACATCCACTACAAACGTTATAGATAAAATAGACCAAAGACTATATATACTACAAAGGGAATGGATAAACAAGCTAACAGTTCATCTGGTCAATAGTCATATAGTATGTGAGGTAAGTTGACATAAACAGAAACAGAGGTATCTGTATCAAAATGCATAGGGATATAGACGGTCACGATTTCTGATAATGTAACAATTTCAAACAAATAAGTGTCGTATCTGATGGGGCATTAAAATAGCTGTCCAATGCGATTGCTTTTGTAATAAATAGTTTTTCATATACTAATTTACAACCACACAACAAGCCACATAAATGGTGTGGGTGCTTTATATAGAATAGATACAAAAATTTTGCCAACTACAGTAAAAGAAAATTTGACTTACCTGACCAATAGATTTCAATGATTCTACTTCTTGTGTTAACATCGATATTTTGTCACGATCTTTTACCATTGAATCCTGAAACAATTACTGATTTTACGACTGACTGTATTTGACAGTTGAGATAATGTAATGTAAAAATTATTTAAAATAAACCCTTGAATCTGATTTCTTAGATGATTATGGACAACCTACTTGCAAAGATATCCTCCATTCACGTTCTATTCTCAAATCTCCTTCAGCTGCAAGAACCCTGGTCTCTGCCGCAGCAGCCTTCTGTCCTAAAGTACGGGCATTTTCTTCTAAACTTTTTCTTGCTGTCTTGTCCTCTTGGAGCCTAGAGATTATAAAGTTTGTTCATGTAAAGACAAACTAAAATAATATACGAATTTATATCAGCAATGTAAGTGCACTGGGTAGCCAGATAAATTTAAAGATTATTTAACAAAATATAATAAGTATAAAATTTTCCTAATCTAATCAAATTCCAGTTCAGTTAAACGCTCTAATAGCAAAAACATTTTATTACATTAACAAATAAGTAAATAATTATATTGTTATCACTAAGAAAATAAATTTAATGTATCGGAGATAATCCTTATCCATTGTTTAGGATGGTCGATTGAAAAGACACAACATAATGTTAGAATTACAACTGAGATGTCTAAATATGTACATATGTTAGATAAATAACTTTTCAGTGAAATTCCAAACCCATGTAAGCTAATGTAAAAATATAGTGACCACAAGTTTGTGCAAGTGATTATTTAATGTGTGTCTAAATCCCCCATAATGTTAATGTACAGATGTATTAATGCATATGTCCTATTTATGTGCTATAAGCTGTTGCTTTAATTAAGCAAGTCTTATATCTTGATAGTTCCAACTCACCTTTATATGGTAAATTGCTATGAATTTTTATCTTGTTAGGGAATTAGACGTTGCAAATAAAATTAAGAAAATAGTACTAATATTTTATAAGTATAATATAAATATAATGTTAAGTCTATATCATATATAAGAAGAATATGTTATTCAAGAACAAATAATGAATAAATTTCCATTAATTGAGACGAATGGAATGATTTCTAAAATGAAAATTATAATGTGTTAATGAGAATTTTTTATATATATAATGGATCACAAATATTATTTATATATTTATAAGCATAGATTTTATGAGTGAGCTTTCAATTTGAAATTAACATTACAAAAGCATGCATAAACAAACAGGTTATAAACAATGGCAAACCTACACAATCAACATAAAGTAAAAACAAGCAGTTTCGTTGTTCTTGTGTTCAATAAAATACCGTGTGCGACTGAATATGCTTTATTATAAATAAGGCTTTACATTTCTACGGCCTTGGAGTTACAAAACTATGAAAGTAATTATTTGTTTACTAACAAATCTGATGCTAATATGTCAACAAGCTTACACAATATAAATTTCTATAAAGTCTTGATTTTATATAAATATAGTTTTAAATGATAATTGAGATCAAAATTATAACAATTCAAATTTAAAAATATAACTATTACATTTACATTTCATAATACTCTCAATATCACTAGAAAAGTAAACAAAATACTTCAAATTTTCACAATTTATGTATTGGAAATTACTCTGCGACATATGGATACATTTAAATGGATTAAAATAATTATAATGACGTCTTAGAGATATAACTCTACATAACTTACAGAAAAATATAACAAAGAAGCTTACTGTAAACTCATATTAAAACTTTCTAACATTTAAAATGTGTTAAGTACTAAGAAATAATCAACAAACCTAATTTGAAAACACAACAAACACGGGGTCCACAGCAACGTGAAAGCTAAAGCGACATTAGCATTGCCATTGTAACAATAATATAGTAAATATAATCAAATATACAAATATCACACAAGAATATCGAAATACTGATTCGAGTTCTATCCGCTTTATTCATTGTGATGGTTTGCCAATATAAGATGAATGGAAAGAGTTACCATAGACTATATAATGTGTAACGAAACGAGTATATGCAGTAATTAATAAGTCGAAATCCAGAGATAGTATTCGTAAAACTGAAAAACATTCCCCAAGATTGAAATATTAAAATATCTGTCAAGTTGTTATAAAAATTGTGTTATATGAAGGATAAAAATTAAAATAATATTTATGTCTTTATAGTTACTTACGCATATTAGTTTATCTCAATAAACGCAGACAAAATCACGAGACATAGCTATATAAATATATATATAATAAAATTATATATACTATATAAAATAAAATTATACACTGTTAAACTGGATGATCAAGTTACTCGCTGTAACTTTATCATCCAGTTTAACGATTTAGCGGAATATTAAACACTATTCACTTTGAATCAGTCCAGTAATACTTAAATTTTTGCACCTGTATTTTTTCAACAATTTGTTCCCGATTCAAATGTAAAACTTCGGAATAACAAACTTAGATTAACATTCTTATTTTTTGTACACAAAGATTCTTGTACATATCCATTATATTTGCGTTTGTACATTTTACGTTAATAAGAATATTGCTTTACTAAGTTTTGCGACTTGACTTGCGATGTTCACTGCAGCGACCATTTTTCGGAAATATTATAACATAAAAATCGGTATATAAACTTTTATACTGTATTGATAAACATCGTAATAATACTACACACAAAATTAACAAAAAAAAATCGAAGATATATTTAATTAATCCAATATACTCATTGGGGAATTCGGTCGAGCTTTACAAATACTACAAATGCATTTCGGCATATTTAATGACTGTTACATCTTTTTTATGATGTAAGCCGTGCAATGTTCACACCTATGTGCGAGTAGGTACAGATATGTAAAGCGTTACATTAATCAGCGTTACGGTACGTCGAGGCACTCTTTCAATCCTTACGAATGATGCAAGCTCTCGCCTGCCAGTTGCGGTGTTATAGAAAAATATGCAAAACCTACTTCTCATCTAGTTGATGTATCGTGCTGCCCATTGATTCAGTCTTTGCTTCCAATTTGGCTATTAGCTCTGTTTTATGTTTCAAGGAACTTTCACATTCCTAAAACAAGGTCAATAAAATTTAGCTGAATTAAAAATACGAACGAACGATTACAGCTTGCATGATTGAAGTGTAGGATATTGGTTAGTACAGCTAAGCGGAAATATACATAGAACCCATAATTTTATAAAGCACAATAACATTTACGTATTTAGTGGTTTATAATAATAAACAAGGATTATGACAGTGACTTTGAGCTTGAATAATATATTGTATACTGGAATAATAAGCATCACCATTAATACAATAAACAATATACCGATGTCCAATAATCTTACATTAATATATTCATAAAAGAGAAATACCACCATTAAGGGCGAGTAATGTGGAAATATATTTTAGCGATGAAATAACATATTTAATTATCAAATATTTATCTACTTCTCAATTACTCTGCCACATGGTCTAAACTTTTGTCTTTACTGTTATTTTTTCGAAATGGTGGTATCTCCTGAAGGTTTAGTCGTTTGTTGGGCGGACCTTCATCCTTCGACTTTGTACTCTTTTGAGCTGCGTTACTTTGCGCTTTAAGTTTTTCTAATTTTTCTCCTAGATTATGCTCGTTAGTGGTGGGTGATCTGAGAGCTTTGACTAGATCATGGTCGGGTCCTAGGAAGTGGTTATATTTCTCAAGGTTGTGCAGTATTTTGCCAATTTGCTCTGCCTTCCCCTGAAGCCTGGATACCATTTCGCCCTTCTGCGTCAGTTCCATCTCGCATTCCTTTCGTACGATAAACGCGGCATTGATAAATACAGCATTGCATTAGTATTATGAATACGTATATTATTATAATTGCATAGAATTCAATTTTGTTAGTATAGAATAATATATATCAAAGCAATAATAATATTATTTGCTAATTTTATAATATGCTTATATAAATGCGTATAAATATATTTAAAGGAGCAAATACATATATATAGAACATAAATAACTTTTGTAGATTGGGACAATAAAACCTCTGTTAAATATAAAAGCCATTCACAACCTAACAACTATAATATTAAAAGTAAATACCAAGCTTTAAAGAGCCGAATGCTGTTATACCACTATACGTGACAAGCGTTAACGAGTTATTCACCGTTAACTAAAAATATATTCTATGTAAGGTAAAGTAATGCTCTATTGTATGGTTTACTGATGTCTTTGGTGATATCATTGCAGTTTTTTTTATTATTTACAATTAAATATTTATACGGTAATAAGTAAATGCTTGTCAAATATATTAGCATGATTAAATATAAATTGTTATAAATGATGATTACAATTAATTAACTGCTTAAGTAACGAGAATGTGTGGGCGGGAAATGAATCTTTTAGTTTAAGCACCCACACTCATGAATGGCCTTCGCAAGGCATCGCTGCTATCTCTCATAATTCTAAAGATATGTGCGAACGCAGATTTCTATGGAAGCAATGCAATCTTTTGTTTCAATGTGATACGTGTATGTTATATTCAACTATTTATGAATCCTAGTTTTATATTAAATTTGTCGGAAAATGAAATTTCTTTCATATGTTAAACTGGCGGGATATTAAAATATTGCAAAGCAAATCAATCTTTGAAAGAAAGATTGTTGAATGAAGATTACAATATCATTGTACATTACATTATAAATATAAACATTACATTTGGGATATTTTGTAGGTATATAGATATGTGAAATTCTGACCTAATCTTTTTACGTTTTATATCAATACATATTTAATTCGATATTTTGACAGTTTTTAATAGGAAATATATAAAAATGAAATGGTAGGTCTATGTATATATTTGACGATTTTTATGTACAAGCCAGGAAGCGACAGATTAATGGCATTTCATAAGACTAAAAAAAAAGAAACTTGCTAATAATTGACGTTTTAAGCGTGATTGGTCAACCTTGATTGGGGGTTAGAAGGGTACAAAATCCTAAAGAACTACGCGTGCTAGACAGAAAATGTTGCTTACCTGTAACTTTTTGTACATTTCTAGGTTAATTAATTTTATATCGTCAAGTTGCCTCCTCAACGATATGATTGTGTCTTGTTTATCGTGTATATCTTTCTCTAACAATTTCATAGCGACCTCCATTTCGGCTTTCAATGAAATCTGAAATTATAGATTTTAAAATTATATTTATTCATTAATTAACTTCAATCAATACAAAAATATGTCACAAAAGGCGGACGTAATATAATATTCTGTGGAAGTTAAATTTTATATTATGTAAAATATTACTATGCTAGCTCACGTGCTATGTATTTGGAATAAAAGCGAACAGTATGTACCTGTAAATTCAATTCTTTTTCTAGTTCCAAATTTTTCTTTCTTTCTTCCTCTAATAATTTTCCTAATTCGCTGTCCTTTTCATTTTTTGATTTATCAGATGTTGTACTCCTCACACTACGTTTCTCCTGTAAATTGACGATGACCGATTTCATTTAAAAGTGTTAGTTATTATTATTATGACTCTCACACATTCTGTGTCATATGTTATTATTATAAAATTCTAGATAGGTCAGTGTGTTATCTGTACCAATATTTTTCTATCATTGTATCTTTGATATCAGTTATTAATGACTCAGGTCACTTAAGATAAGAGTAACTTATGTTGGTATTGAAGTTTAAATAAATAAAATCATATTTTATGATATATGGAATATTGACATATAATTCTTATTTCCATCTCGTACACATCCGAAACCAATATAAAATTAATTTTAGTTTAGCACTTGAACAATTAATCAGTTGCAAAATATAAAACACTGTAAATAAACACAACAAAATCGAAAGTTTCCAGTCCAAGGACGTCTATAGTACCTGTAAATGTATAGTATATTTAAACAAACACCTTTACCTCTTCATCAGACTGCAACTCTGTCACTTTCATTCTAGTGTCTTTGGTTATGTCCTGACCTGTAGAAAAATCGCACGTGTTTAGACGATACGTAAATAAACACAGACTGACAGTGGTATGTTTGGAATAGGTATGAAAATAACTCACAAGTGTACCATAGCGATTGTCGCGGTCGAGTTTTTGTTGACGAATTGCCCATTAAGAGCGCGCGTTGAAGCATAACGGGTCAAAATTGCAATAAATGTTAAGTCATAAGTAACAATTGAATGAAGACGCGGGCGACAAGCGCGGCATACCAATGCACACTAAACTAAATGCTCAACGTGACTCATCCGATTGCAAGGTGTCTAATCTATGGAGCCTACTCAGTTTTATTCTAATGAATACAATATATAATTAACCGCAATTTGTCATGAATTTATTATATGGAAACACAAAATATAATTAGGTATATAGGGCACACTAACGAATTTTATTTTTAGTAATATTGGTTTATCAATCATCGGGTATAACAATTAACAATACTATATATATAATATTATGGTTAAATAATATTCTTTTACCCAAAGCGTGTTTGAACTGATTGTTTTCTTCGACCAACTGAATCATGGTATTCTTGGCGATCGCCAAATCTTCCTTCATGAGTGCATTTGTTGTGGTCAGACCTTCAACTTTGGCTTGCAAATTTGCTACAGTGGCACTGAAACAATTAATTTATTTCTCTCATATACAGAGAAGTATAACGACTTAATTACATCGTACATACAGATAATGAGGATTGTATTTTTTAACTAAGTTAACTTGCGTAATTTATCATTTTAATTATGATTAAAAGTAGATAATTATCGCGTGGGAAGTACATGCTGTTATTACGTTTTCACATTTCTTGCTGGCTATAATAGTGATATCGGTCTCTACGGGGAAAGTACTACTACAGTGTAAGTAAGAGTACTCACTTCAGATGTCGGTTCAGTTCTTCGATATAATTCTTTTGATCTAACATCGTGTTAATATGGCGTTGTTTCGGTTCATTGTTCGTATTGTTTCCATTGCTGGACAAGTCATTGGAAGAGCTGCCACCCCGAAGGTATAAAGAGAAATCAATAACGCCTTGTTGACTGTCCAAATCTTCCTCCTAAAGAAATTAAATAAATAATGACGTATTAAGAAATATTATTAATACTTTCGATGATCGCGGGTTCGATTCCACGCACGGTACAAACATTTGTATTTACGAGTATGATTGTTTGTATCGGTCTGGGTGTTTTCTATGTATAATAAGTATGAATTTACGAAAAAAAAATATTAACGATGTATCAGTTGTTTAAAAAAATATATTATTATTATAAGAAGAATAACTGTCTAGTACCCATAACACAAGCTTTAGATAGCTTAACTTGGGTCTAGATGGCGCTGGGTAAAATATCCTGAGATTATTATTGTTATTATAGTAATCTTAGTAGTAATTGTAAACTTTTGTAGTCATGTTTATTATCAGACGGATCGTATCTTATTAATACGTAAAATACTTTTACCTGCGATAATTTGTTTACTGTAAATACTATTATAGATTTTGAAATTACAGTTTCTAACTTATAAGTATCTACATATATCCTTAGAGCATTTAATAGGTATAAGTACAAACAGTGTAAAGATTAATAAAAAATATTTCACGTATTTCAGATAAATACAATATATCTTTGTATCCTAAAATAGAACTTAATGTCAGCATTTAATATATATCAGTGAAATGATAACTATTAATAAAATTAACGGAGCTCATTATACTTTGTAGTATTATCGGCTTACCAAACAACAAGGAGTAAAATATATTGCGTATGTTTTACATAGATAACACTTTTGATAAATGTAAAATAAAACAATGAACATTTGTGCAAGAACATATTTTTAAGACTTAAAAATAAGTTAATAAAGATATATTAATACCTTGACACACAAATTGCAGTCGACGACATTTAGGCCCACGAGTAAACCGGTAATAATGACGGCTTCCTCATTCAACATCAATGCGTGTGGTTCAAAGTACTCTTCCAACGTCTCCTCGCGATGCTCTAAAAGTATTCTTAGATAATCCGCAAGTCTTTTCTGCATTAGAGCCAATCTTAGCCAAGCTCGAGCACGGCCCATTGCGGTCCTAAAATGTTATACATTTTTATTGGACTAAGAACTATTTTTCAATTAGGGAACTATCCGTTGAACAGATAATGTGGTAATTTAGGCTTAATAAAATAGGTTTATAATAATATAAATATTTTTTTATGACTACAGCATTTTCGATATCCTGTTATAAGTAAATACGCATTAAATTCAATATAAATAAATTGCATGGGAGTTAATAATAAATGTTTCAATATTTAGTATCCATAGATATCTATATGTTAGTACTAGCTGTGGCTGCGACATCGTCCGCGAGGAATAGTGACCATAGATACCATTTTTTAGTATTTAGGCTAATTATTTTACAAATATGAGACATATGTACTTAAGACACGTACATGAATAGGTACTATAATAAGCTATTTGTATTGTTTCACTGTAAATAGTTTAATAATAATTTTATAATTAAATAAACAGAACAATGATCAAAATAAAAAAATATATTATAAAGAGACAGAGAGAGCGGATTTCATCATGAGGTAAGTAAACTCCGGAACTACTGCTTAATAGAAATTCTTTCTATTAAGCAGTGGTTCCAGATATTAATACAAAGTTCACAAAGCAACACTCGGTCGACGCCGTGCCAGTAGTGGATAGGCAATACATTACGTAAACAAATACTACTACATACTTATGTAGTAAATTACACGTGGGCGCTATTCAATACTAACAAATTGATAACTTACTTGACTGTTGGCAAGTCTCTAATACTTGCGGTGATGTCAGCCGCCTCTGGCGAATACTTTTCGACCATTTGCAGAATATCCCACAGTTCTTTCTTGGGACCAAGAAGACCCTGCATATATTTATTATTTTAAATTGTCATTAATTTAAAATATAAATTATTGTTATTAACATTAAGTAGGTTGAAATTAATATTCAATACAAAAATATTTCGTGTATTATGATAAAGTACATTTCGGACACCATAATCAAAGAATATTTTAATAATTGTATCGAAGTAAGCATGTCGAAACTGCTCGACGGTAGAAATTTATTGCAATGTGTGATAGGATGCTTTTATATTTTAATTTTATTGATTCATCTTTTTTGGTTAATATAATTTAAACCTTGATTGTTAAAAAGTTACTATTTATTAGCAAGTCCATTGATCATTCGATATTATAGTAAGAATTTTGGATTTGAGTGATTTTCAAATGTACAATTCGGTAGAGTAGCGTTCGTGACCGCTGTATAGTCGAATTTATACTTTCAGAATAGACCCCATGAAAAATAAAGAGCTTGTTCATTGTTGTTCATTAATATGTAACCTTACTTACCTTCTTGGGTTTAAGTCCATGACGCATTACATGCTCGAGAACAATGAAGAAATGGTGTAATGGCAAATGGTCGCTATCGAGCATACGCCCGTAACGAAGCGATTGTTCAATTAGCTCCTTTACTATCAACTTAGAGATGTTGACGAGATTGCTACGTTCTATCACTACTGGATCCCGAGCTATAAAAAGAATCAAAATTGATAGATATATATCCCATATACGCAATATATATAAATTAATATGAAAATTAAAAGTCCGGTGTACATTAATATAATTGTTTTTTTGTTGAATGCATATTAGTTTTAAGTAATGACTAATTGCAATAATTTGTTTTATAGTCTAAAGGTAATGAGATTTATTTTTTATAACAAGAGTATTAATATGTTCCACATAAAAATACAAGAAACCACATTTGATAAAAGAATTGTTAAATTTGGTTTGGTTTGCGAAGACATCGCGATTTGTCTGATATACAACAAACGGAAACTTTATTTTTAGTTCATATACTTTTAATAAATGACCACCAGAGAAATATTTTTTTGAAACTATTATCATTTGTTACCCATTAAGGAATGCATAGGGTCGTCAGGAGAGGTGATGACACCGTCAGACGGGCGGATGTAAGAATCCTGCATATCCATATCATGCAGTTCTTTCAAGCAGAGCCACTCTCCGTCAACAGACACCCGAAAGTTGCACAGATATATGGTGTCCTGTGCTCCAGCCATATCGGCGTCGGGATTATCACCGTGCTGGAGGTTGGATGGTATTCCCAACTCAGGCAAGGGATCCACCCCATGTAAAGCAGCAAGAGAACGCATAATAAACTCGCAAATAAACTATCAAGCGAATAACAAGAACTCTATTATTAATCTTGATCACTTTTTTACGTTCATTTCACACACAACACACAAATTTGAAGGTCAAACACAGTGGTTGTGTGATAGTGACTTTCACAATTCGCTTTATAAACCTCTCTTCGTTATAAGTGCACTAAATCAAAATGGATTACTGATATCCAGTAGGATTATATCTGGAATAAATAAGTTTTGCCTTAACGTAAAATCTTGGGTAACGTAATTTCCTGATTATTACATTATACTGTATACAGGAAAATATTAATACATTATATAGTTTAAAGATGGAATAGAATATAGCTTTCCAAGTAAGTTTCCATACAAATATTGATTTCTCCTTCTCCCTACTGGCGTAGTACGTCGTCACGAGAGCGGGAAAATCAATACTTGTTGCCAGCACTGCCATCTATAGGCGGGGCCAAAAATTATCTTGCTTCGAGTTCTAAGTCAATGAGGTATGAAAAAAATAGAGAGGTAATAATAACATCTTCAGAGATTAAACGACAGATGTAGCTGTACACTGGCGAAACCGCGCGTTTTTTAAAGCGCGACATCTTTACCAATCTCCGCCGACTATTATTTTTATAATCAACAGGACTTTCCTCGGTGTGAACGCTATTCTAGTTTTCTAATGATTGAACTGAGTTTTTTACTTGGTTTATTATTGGAAAACCTCGAGTGTCATAAATACTTTTATTTTTCCATCTATCTATAGTACTTTAGTATACATCTCTAAAGCTACTTATATACTAACAATAAATTGTTTAAGCAACATTAATTATTCTCTTAATCTTCATCTATGACATTTGGTTAGCTGAGCAGGAACTGGATTATGACATTTGGGCAAACATTAAGCAACATCTAGAGGACTTAAGCTGGAATAAATCCTTATGATTAAAATACATACGTTTCAAGAACAAATCAGCACCAACAGTTATTGTGCTGTGTTTTAATGATATAATATGTTAAGCCAACGGAGAAGTAACTTCTCCGTTCGTCTTCTACTATCTAGAGTACGTTTAAAACAAAAGCAAAAAATAAATATATCTATTACAATATAACAGGAATAAATAAGTTTTGCCTTAACGTAAAATCTTGGGTAACGTAATTTCCTGTTTATAATATGGAGATTAATTCTGGATTATTACATTATACTGTATACAGGAAAATATTAATACATTATATAGTTTCGCTATAAAATATCATATTAAATCCTCGCACAGTGTAAACATTTGCATTCATGAATATGATTGTTTGTATCGGTCTGGGTGTTTTTTATGTAGGTATATGTTTACAATAAAAATCTAAGTATTTAGATCAGTTGTCTAGTACCCATAGTTCAAGCTCTGCTTACGTGGCACTAGATTGTATCTGGCATTTACAAAGGGATATATTTAATTTACTGTACACGACGTTGGCGAGGGGTTTCAGTCCAAATTCTACCATTGTATCTTAATTACTGTTTTCTATATTTAATTTACATAATTATCCAGCGAGAAAAACACACTGACAGATTAAAAAAGATGAACAAAAATAACATATTCTGAACTCATAAAGGAATTTATTTATTGGTCACTTTCATCTCTAATCAACCTTTGGGCTTTTTACATTCGATAGGTATATTTATGATTTATTTATAGATAATAATCTATACATAAAAATAAAATTGGAGCGTCTGTTTGTAATATTGAAATAACCGTATTTTACTACATGCATATGAATATAAATAGGGTACATACACCAAAATAACATTTTTAACAATTGTTTGTCTGTCTGTTTGTTCCGACTTATCTCTGAAATGGCTGGACCGATTATTTTCCATAGGTAGATGTAATAAGGACTAACTTAGGCTACTTTTATTCTAGGAAAAGTCTTTTATTTTAGAAAATTATGTTAAATTCCACACGGACGAAGTCGCGTGTACAGCAAGTAAAAAATATACTTTGTGGTTTATACATACCATTCATAATTAGGGGTATAGACCGTAATAACAGACATGAAAATGTCAATGATTTACAAAAAAAATCTGAATTCATAAAACATTGGATCTTAAAAGGATTTCAACTCGAAATGAGCACATAACATACCAGTAAAATATAAATAACCTAAGTAAAATCATTTACTATCAAAGTTCTATAAAATATGGTAATATACTTTTCCTAGAATCTAAGATATAAATAACACATAGCGCCATCTAGTTCCTTCAAACCAAGCATTTTAAGTAGGTATGTTTTGTAATACAGTTTACAGATATAGTAAAATATATGTGCTTGTAATGTACAGAACAGTATATTAGGTAATCAGTTATTTAATAAAATGTACCATTATGTACATTAGTACCATAGGTATGTTATTCAGATATCATGGCATGTAACTTTTTTACTAGTTTCCTTTGATTTCCAAAAGTTTTAAAATCAAATTGGTTCAGCATTAATGAAGATAAAAAATGACAAAGAATTGAGAATCTTCTTTGAAGTAGTTCTTATTGTGAAGGAAATCAAAAGAATTTTAAAGATCAGATTGGTGACTAGTACACTGCATCTTCACCGCAAACACTTGTGACGCAGGCATAACATAGGGTACAATATCACATGAAATGAAATGTGTAAGATAATAATTATTACACCTGCATGAAACACACAGGACACATTTCAGATTTCAGTTACTAAATTACAGGATTTCATTGTCCTCTGGAATGTCAATGAAAGAGCGATATCATGGTGACAAATGATAATGAAATGAATGTATTTCTCCTGCATGTTTATTAAGATGGGCCCTGCATACCCTTAGGTATGTCATTAGATATTCTGTCATTCTTATTACAAAAAAAAGCACCACACAGTGTGAAACTATATGAAACTTGTACTATGTTGTCATACTCTAATAACAGTAGACTTAACTATATTTGGAATACTATATTAATATTATTGATTGACAGATTGAGAACTAAAAGACAAACCTGAATATTTTTTTGTTAATTCAGTTATATTACATAATACAATATGGCATATTACATAATATAATACGCATTGGGCGGCCTGTACACTGCCAAAAAAATATTATGAACACTAAGTCATATTTCTTGGAAAATTAACAATCTGAAATAACAGAATTTATTGGTTTTTATTATATTGATATATATCGTAATTTGTGGCGCTTTTTATAGCACTTGAAAAAAATATTTCAATTTACAATTACGATAACTAATTTGCTTAGTGTCTAGCAAAATTTGCAATTAAGATACCTTAACACTTAAAGATATTTGATTAAATTTTCATCAAAAATAGTTACTACTATATTCATCTAATGTATGTATTTCTCCTGATGAGAAGGTCCTTAGATATAATGTGAAAGACCTAGCAGGCAACAAGAATACTCATTTTTTACATACATACAGTACAGCAGCGGACAGGAAATATTTTAAATTTAAGTTACAAAAGAAACAAGTTTTACTAATGTATAAAAAAATCTATAAAGCCTTGCACCTTAATTACAGGGCTGATATTTACAGCTCTACAGGTAGCTCTAGTGGGTTTCTGCAATTCTACATCTGTAAGAAAGCTTGGAATTCCTATACAGCTAAGCAAGAGTTTGGTTGTCGACTGTTGACGATCCTAATAATTATGTATATGTGTACACAAACTTGACAATTTGACTATGAATGTATGTACTTACTCTTGGAACTGTAGAAGTAGGAGTTGTCGGGTCTCGACAACAGCAGTTCCGGCCATTTGTCATCTCTTGTGGAAGAAACAGATGGAGATCTTTCAAAGAACTGAGATTTCACTGAGGTTGTTGACGTAGTTGGTGAGATATTTCCCTCTTTATTTTTTGAAGACGATGCCATAGTAGACTAAAATGATTAAATAAAGGTTTTATCTAAAGAATAACATTTTGTCAAAAATACAACAACAATGGAAATAATAATAAGAGAAAATAGTGGACGCGTCAATGTTATGTCAAAACTATGTCATTCGAAATGTCATTTCTTATACGTCATAATATTAAGCTTTACGGCTTTGGAAATCCCTAGATTATTTTACATTATATTATTGAGATCACAAATGATTTACGAAATAATATTTAGTTTTGAAATAAAATAAATACACATGTATAGACAGTACAGAGTACGAATGCCAACCTCATGATTGAAATCTAGTTGCTGCGCGATGTAACTAATTTCGCCAAAAGCCTTAGTAAAGGAACGACGTTGATCTCAACGTCGTTCTTTTCTCGAATTTACGCTGAACTCCGTTTCCTTGAACGTGTTTATACTATGATTGGTGGAATCCAGCCTTAGTCTTGAAAGTTATACAAACAGACACACTGCCGTTGCTGATAAAAAATAGTGTAGTGATATGTGTGTGTAGAATGTCGTTGTAACTCAATCTATCTGCATGTAAAATTTTATTGATATATTTTTAGAGGAACATATGTCAAAAATTATATACGTACCTATATAAATATAGTTGAAAGATGTGTATTTAAAAAATAATATATTTTAATGAAACTGTGCATACATTCCAAATATGGGTAATAAACGGAAAACGAACGAACTAACAACTGTAGATAAATTCTAAGATTTATTGTTATTATAAAATATTTGGTATATTTAATTCTTTTTTGCTTTCCATGGTGTGTGAATTTTACTTATTTCAGTAGTACGGTGAAAGGCGATCATAATTTTTACCTGGTGATGTGAACTGAAGACGCATTTCGATATACATAGTACCATGCATTAGTAGATGTGACGATGACAATATTGACAATTACAAGTCACCAAATGTGACTGGCCGTCAGTATAAGGTAATCATGGTACTTTTTGAAGGCTGATTTGTCTGCGTACACTTTATCGTTAACATAATCATACTACGTATTCGTCAGCCAGCTATCATCGTTCAGCAATCCTGTGTTGTATAATACTATATATTTATATGTTTTATAGACATTCAGATTGAAATGTTAAATACACATACACGCACAGTGTGTACCTTGCTTGTCATACCATACATATATACTGCCTTGTCATTATCTCATCCTTCAATAGAAACATCATACATAGCATGCTCCTTAGTGGTTAAACTATGTAACGTAGAGGTACTTACTTATACAGACGACTATTTAAACAAAAGCTTCAATATTTTGTAGTCGGATACACAGTGTATACTGTGTGCGCTATAGAGTTGTGCGGGTGACAGTTACTAATTTTACATTTAACAATTGTTATTAATGAATTAATATATTACGAATGTGGTACAGAATAGAATAGAAAATCATTTATTCAAATAAACTTAATTTAAGCACTTTTGAATAGTAATAACATTTTTTTTAATTTACCGCTCGTTCGGAAAGCTGTCTAATCACAAGAAGAACGAGCAAGAAACTAGTGTGTTGCTCTTTTAAATAATCCTTGTAAGTCCACATTTTCCAAGTCGAAACGTGTGAATACAAACTACCAACCAGCATCAATTTATTAGAGTCAATTATAAAAACACAATTAGATTAAATCAGTCGTAGTGATAAGAGCAGACCAGTCCTTACAAACTTCACTCGTTCACGAGTATGTTGGATGAGCCAGCCATCACTGCGCTCGACCATATTTTAGGCCATTTGTAGTGTTTGTGTTTAGGTATTCATATGTACAGCCGAAATACTAAGTCATATTTTGTAAGTCGCGGTAACTTTTAAGAGTGAAACAAAATATTAATGAAACTGTCACCCGCATCATGCTACAGCGCACATGATATAATGACATAATCATTGTGGTCATCAGATTTATAACATAAACTTTTTTGTTAGTAAGATGTCAAAATTCAATCTGTTCAATGAGTAAATACTGATCTTAATAGCTTTGAGTGATGTAAGAGTGACTTCCATTTAGTGGATTAGCGGATTGTGAATTTAGAAATTCAACGTGTTTTTCTAATAAATTGTTATTTTGAAATGAATTTTCAAACCAATATCACGTTAACTCCTTTGAAAGTCCTGATGGTTAATCCTCTTATGCCCGGCTCGCAGTTGACTATTGTTAAAATATTATCTGGTGCAGTTTTTGGATCCAATCAACTAATTGACCTGATTCTTTTAGTTTACTCTAATGAAAAGCCTTCTGCTGAAGCACTTAAACTAGAATTAATTGGTTGTGCATTTTCATGTAACAATTCTATTGAAGTCACATCTGATTTGCCCAGGTAGATTAACTAAGTATAAATTATGCCTAGTTATGCTTATTTTCCCTCTTTCATTAAGTCTAAGTAAAGATGTCTACGTAATCTAAATTACAAATAACTTTTATTGATATAGTTTTTTGTTTACCTTCATATGAATATAAATAAATGGTTGCTAATATATTGTAATTGGGGTCAGCAGCCTCGAGGGAAACCAGTGTTGTGCTAAACTGGTCTATATTAGCACTCAATCAGATGAGATTTTAAATCTAACCCAAGTCATGATCATGTAGTAAATAAATATACACAATCATTTTTGGATATCCTTAAAGTCTTTCTGACTCTACAGCTTCTGTTCTGTTTATGTTAGAAACTAGGATAATTTAAATAAAAAATATTTCGTATATTATAGGTAATGCTTAACCTACTGTAAAATAAGTAAGTGCATTAAATAGGATACAAAATATCAGAATCGATAATGTAGGTGATCATGTGTTCTCAAATACATGAATTTTCTTTAACTGAGATTTTTATACATGTACCTATTCCTACACTTAGGCATAGGTAAAAGTCTATGACGATTGAAATTCATATATAGAAATGTACTTATATAATTAAATAATTACTAGATTATTCATTAATTATACGAAACCACAGTTTTTTTTTGTGATAGTTTTTCAGACGCTGATGTATTTTGTTTTATGACAAATTTTCCAAATCCTAATAAAGTAGATTTTGATAGAATTGACATCGATGAACAGTTTGATACTTTCTATTTGACTATAAAAATAGCCCATAATTTGCTAGTAAAGAGCTCCACTGAAGAAGAAACACTTGATAATACGGATAATACATTGAAAAATAAAAAAGTAATAAAGAAGTCGATTAAGCCAATAATAGTTGCCGATGGTTTGGTTACGATGGATATTCTTCTTTCATTTTCGAAAAATATACCTACTAATATATTTTTTTGCCCTACGTCAATAACTGGTGCTGCTAAATCAGTATTAGGAGACTATTTGAAGGTACATATTTGTTTACTTTTCTTCTATATCTATTGCATATCAGATTGACCTCCACGCGGTTCGTCCTTAAAACCATCGTCATAAATTCTTGGTGAATTTGTAATGATGGGTTAACTGATCTGATCTCATGCTGATCTTATCATCTTCCACTGGTGCCCCGCCAGCGTGGCGTAACAGTTAGCGCAGGCGCGTGCACCGTTCCATTATCATCCATAATAAAACAGTAGGTACGTAACGTAGATCAATGTGTACAAGAGGATTTAGTGGAACCTGTAAAATATATAATTAGACTGGTCATGATTATATTGACGTCTGATTATGATATTTTATCACTGTAGCCTTGGTATATATACCAATTTTTTCGCCCAGTAGTCTACAGTTACTGCGGTGGATATAATTTTATCGAAATGTTTCAATGGACAAAGTTTTCATATTACTTACCCATATAAGTGCATAACAAACACACACATTCACCAGCTACTTATCATGATGTTTGCAGGAGGAACTAGGTGGATGTCAACCCGACTTGCTATATTAGGTACTAGCGATGGAATAATTAGTTCACATTATTGATAATTCCTTTCTACAATCCTCTTCTTGGACCGGTTTACTACTGCTATATTTTATGGAGGATTGACGGTAAAGTGCAATGCATGATTGAAACTAGGCTATATGAAAATGCGCTTTATATAAGTACCTATATTGTGTACTTGATAGGTATATTACAAGTCATAAACTGGAAAAGCCGCTATTCAAATGTACATAGTATATGAAAGTATATTACATAACTGTTAGTAAATTTGATTTGTTGCACAGGTGCAATGCTATACGATCAATAATGTTCATGTTTGGGCCGCGAATGATGATGTTCTTCATGTTGAAGTTGATAAACCTATTATCATTTACGACACAGTCAATGACTTACCAAATTGTGATTGGGAAGCATTGGGGAAAAATCAGCTAGACTCCTTTAATTTAGATCATACTCAATTTAATGATTCGTGGATGAAGAAAGAATTTATAGATAAGGTAACCAAGTCTTGAACGAACCAATTCTTAAAATATGGACTTAATCTAATAGAAATATTGAGATTTGAATAAACGAGTATTGATCTCAAGCTTACGGCAGCTCTAGATTTAACTATTTGGTTATCTACCTGAGGTATGATAATGTAACATAATCACAGAAAAGGAGACATTAGATATAGGGAACACCTTAACTAATACCTACAGGGGAAAGAAAATATATTATTTTAAAAGATTTACTAATAACATGATAATTTTAATTTAATGATGAGTCGTGTTTATTATTGAGACGTATCTGGTTGTATTTTAACTATACTCTAGGGTACAAGTGTCTCTATTTGTTTGTTATTATTTCATGCTAAAGGACTGAATTATTTGATAAATGATTGGATAAACATAGGCTATTTTTTGTCTAACAAGAACAGACCAAGTCGCGAGTAACAGCTAGTGATTTATAAAATCATATTTTTTAAATTTAGATTAATCAAATAAATCAGTTTATTTAATAGGTAACATCATGTGCATCGAAAAATCCCTACGGATGTATTTTTAGAGCTGCAGAATTCGCTAAAACTTTGCAAGCAATTTGGTTGTCACGTTCGAGTGAGAACGGGAGTAAAGTTTATTGCAACCTGGGTGTAATAAGTGATGGTTCTCTTGGAACTGTAAAAGGTATGTATATGTAATTTTATGATCCTGTTTTACAATCAATTAAATATATTTTACTACAGTCTTTCTTAAATAAATTACGTTTAATAACAAAATGAACTGCCATCTTCATTACAGTTTTAATGAATAGAATAAATAAAACTTGGCAAGCACATATGATATTTTATTTATTTATTATTTTAAATTATTATGCCATTATGAGGATAACGGTGTAGTTAGTCGCTTTCCAGATCTAGACATTACTTGTAATTTGCTGGAGTTTTGTAGGATGGCAGTAGATTATTTAGGTAGTATGTTAAATGGAGATTAGGTATTATTATTATTATTGTATTTTTTTTTTAGTTTCCTCGTGTAATTAGTGTTTATAATTGTGTATATTGTGTATATGGCTTCCTTTGATTTTTAAATCATAACAAGTAATATCTGAACATAGTAACTAGCTTAAACGAATACTTACATAGAGATATATATTTTAGGCTATCCATATATTTTACCTGTAATCTTGAGTGGCGAATTTTGGACAGTTAATAAATATTTAGAGGACGATACACATTTGAAACACGAGATTAAAAGAATAAATGTAATAGTTAAGGACCATCATAATAAGGTATTGATATTTTTAAATTTTAATATATTTATGTATGTATGAAAGCAAATTTGATGGGTACATCAGAGAAAGTCAATCGTCGTATTTTTGTAGTGATGAACGGTGATATGATATTTCCTTCACTTCCTTTTATGCATTACTTCTAGCGTACACTATTAGCACAGACGACATTATCATTCAACTGGCAATTTGTTTCTCCATTCAATAGCCAAATATAGTATTTACAATCGCTATATACTGCCCACATTACCTACATGAATAGAAAACAAAGAAGCGCTGCTATTATTTAGGGGAAAATACCGTAGAATTGGTTTAATTTATTTATGAGAGAAAGCAATTTTGGAAACTACTTATTTTAGTTTTAATATTACAAGATTTTTCTGTAAACGTAATTCATACATAGATATATTTTGCCTACATTTTTAAATAATTTGTTTTTTACATTTCAGTTGATTTCATACTGCAAAAAATTTTTGGTAGAGAACGTTTTAAATCAAGCGTTTTTACGATCTGATGAGGAAACCTCTTCCGTGATAGATAAAAGCCGATCTAGCATTTAGATTTGCGTTGTGATAAATAATTGTCTAAAACTATATATTTACTACAAGAAGCTGTAGTAATTAACAAGAATAAATATATATTATTATGAAAACAATTTAAATTTAATGTCAAACTTTTACATAGATTCTGTACGATTTTAATATATTTAATAATAAACAAATAGGATTGAAAATATTTGTCGTGCATTTTCAACCAATATTAAAAAGACGATGAAATTTATTTTGAAATTTCATCGTCTTTTTAATATTGGTTTAGTATTTCTATTCCTATTTCAAAATGTATACTCTAATTATCAAAATCAATTCTGGTTCTTTTTGGAGTTATTTATTCCAACTTAATCACTAATGATAGTTTCAGTTTAAACATTTTATTTTTTGTACAATATAATAACGAATACCTACTTCTTAAAACACCTAGGTACAACTATAACGAACAACTGTTCAGAATTATTAATTTGGGAACTTAAATAGATATATATGTATACTTAAATAGATATGTAAGTCTTATTAAACTTACTTGTGAACTTACAATAGTTAGGCGTAGATATGTCTTATTAAAGGACAAGGTTGCAGTTGGACATTCCGCATACTGTAAAGAACCACGCAATTCATTAACTTAGGAGTTGGTCAACTAATCCAAGTTTTCTCTTACTTCCTAATGAGATGAGTTTGATTCGAATTCTGGTCGCGAATGGCACTATAAACTAGGCTCAGCGATCACTTATACTTTAATAATTCATCAAGCAATTGAAATATATTTTACTTATTCATTTTTAATACATGAAAATATTACTTTAATCTTTACGTCAATACACTTTTATAATATATTTATTTAAGTACATTATATTCCTGCACGACAGAAATCGGCACATAGGTACAATATCTTTTTCTAGTTAAGCGCATAATATGCTAAAATGCAGAATCGCTAAATAATGCCTGCGAAATTGTTATTTGTCAGAGTCGAAAAATCATGTCTATACTTACATATACCTATTTTGAATTGAGTTTATAGTTTAGATCTACATATGTAAGTAGAAGTTTAGGAGAGACGACTTTGAGGCGACTATTGTTGAAGAACTTTTCTTTAAATAATTAGACTAAGAAAAAAAATTAAAATAAAATATAAATTTATTTATATCAAAACAGTAGTGTTTGAATTTATTTTATTTAAAAAACAATAGATAATAATTTTATAGTATAATTGCTTTTGACAGCACACTCATAGATTATTAATAAGTACTCGTATATAATAACCGTAGGTAATAGCAGTATATTAATCCTAATTAATAAATTTTATTATAACCTCACGAAAAATATTAAATTAGAATCACAAATTCTATTTTAAAGTTTTGTCTTTAGCAAACAATAAAATAGTTACTTAGTCTCTTCGTAGAACTCTAAATGACTTATAAAACGTAGATATTATTACGATTACTAGGAATTTTGTGAACGAAAAAAAACTGAAATTCTTAATTTGATTGGCTCCACAGATAAATTAAGTTTAAAATATATTTAAAATCTGCTGGTGAGTTGCAATTAGACGATTGAAACTGGTGTAGTTTTGTGTACCCAATTCCATTTATAGCGGTAACATTATCTCCTCTCCTTGAAATATAATAATGCATGCATTTGTCTATGCGTCTGAAGACTGCTATCTCGAACATGAATGCCGTACTCTTCTATGTATGAGACACACCCTGAGAATCTCATTGCTGTGTGTGTAATAGTAATAGTAGTAAGAAAAGCTTAATCTGTACAACGTGTAGTGTATACATTGCAACAGCAACAGTGCAGTTTAACCTTTTGTTCAAAGTAATTTATCTATAAATACATTTATAGGCAGAGAAGAGACTTACGCAATAAAGAGGAAGAACAGAATATTTAAAGTTGTTTTGATTATTACAATTTATTAAGTTTATATATTTCTTACTGGAGTTAAACAATGTGGACACCAATTTTCCTAAATATCTTTTTATTACACGATTTAAGTGGTTACGTTTAAAAATGTCAATTTTTTTTCGAGAAACATGAATTGTTTTATACAACGATTGCCTTTATTTAATTGAGAGTACAATGTTGTGCAGGCTGACTTTTTATGAAATATGATTCCCATGAGAGTTCCCTTTAAATTTTTTTACTTCCTGCAATTCATAAAAATCTTTGTATGTCGTATTATTTTATTTATCATTTCTATATCTATCTATTTGAGTTCGTGTTCTATAATGTTAGTCCAATGTAATTTTGACAAAACCATAGATAATTCACATATTTTTAGTCAATACCTGCATCCATATACATGGTTTTCTTATAGATTAAACAGAGATTTGAGCGGGCCGGGCTTATTGGGCGGCGTGTAGACAAACAAAGAGTCTGGCCTCCGTAATGGAAATTACATACCCCGGAGGTCGGAAATCAAATTGACAGAAGAGGTTAAACAAACGATGCGGTCAGGGAGTCGAGACCGTAGTCCGTCGAATATTAATCGCTCAGTAAATGCGCTTTTATTTGTTTTTCCCTTTCCTCATGGGTGGATCGCAGGACGACGCTCCGTTAACGATGGATTAAATTAACAAAGAACGATAAATGTTCATTATATAATTTATTAAACGCGCATAGATTAATTATCTATTATCATTAAAGATTACTGTAATATATATTTTAAACTCTCCCACAATATTTATAAACCTTATATAATATCTACATTTAGTATTTTTTGAGCAAGAGGTCCATTTAAGGTAGTAACTTATAGTAGCTACTACTTATATTTTAACCTAATTTCGTGGTTATTGTATATATCCCAAATGTGTACACTTTATTGAATTAATTAAATTAATTTGGTAAAAACAAATTTACTAAGTTAGAGCGTATTACTTATCAAATATATCCATCTTATTTGCATATTGGAATCATAAATTTAGGTTACAAACAAAAACTATTATTTATATTAGGTCGATAGTTTGCTCCTTATATATATATATATATATATAAAAGATATCATTGAGAATGGTCAAAAACAGAAAACCAATTAAGAAAGAATACCGAAGGTATATTAAGTTGAAAATAATAATTAAATGTTAGTCGAGATGTTTAACCATAATGCAAAATGTGTAATAGTGTTTAGAGCTAAAAATAATAATAAAAAGTAACCCAAAATACAATAATTATGTAAATATTGTTGGAATGATATAGTTCGGTTGTACCTATCTACCTATTAGTAAAAGGTACAATACAAATGATGAAATGAAAAGAAATAAATGGTACAGTAGGCATTCTGTGAATTTACATTATATACATCTATAATATTACATACCGCGAATACCCACAGTACTTATCTCAGGGAAAATTTTATATGCATATAGATACATTTTTAATAGATTTTGTATTAGTATAGGTACTGTTTTTAAGATATTCTTTTTATAGCGTTGCTTTAAAGTCACAAAATTTTGTTTAACACTGTCCATATAAGCGACCTTCTTTGGCACTCATCAATAAGATAGATTAATGTGAGATACTTCCTAAAGATTACGTAACTGATCAAAAAGTTTCGTGGGCAGCTAACCATCCCGAAAGTTCCATCCGTAATCTAATAAAAACTTTGTGCGCTCGTACTTAAATTAGGCATTTGCCTATCTCTAAAATCTGGAGTTGAAGTTGAGTTTTTAGAAAATAAATAATGCCGTGTCCCCTGGTGTTTTGTTTACCCTTCCACCTCGTAGAGGGTCTTAGTGTCACATTAACAGGGGCGCGATTTTCGTGGCGCGGTGTCGCGTCGCTCCCAGAGACATTCGTTATCTGCTCCAGCTTCTTTCTTGGATTTATTGACTTTTTCCTGCCTTAATTTCCAGAGATTCGGTCGAATGGCCCACGCCAGCACCGGAACATTAACGTTGCCCCAGGGAAATACCGTTTGTGTTTTGTAGTATATATTTAAATTGTCCTTAACTTTCGATGTTTTATAGCTAACTTTAAATTCTTTTTACTTTTATCTATTATAAAATACATATATATATATGAAACGAGACGATCCAATACATAACATCTCATAATAATTATGAGTAACATTTTATGTTGAAATGTTACATTTTGATTTTATCGCGTACATTTCTGGTTATTTGCAATCCGAAAAATGTCTCCGTTGATCACATACAACAATGTGGTATCCGATTAGCTGTAAACATCATTGGTGACTTTGAATTTAATATCTAAATCTAACTGTATCTACTAAAATTCTAACATTAGTCATTAATAAAAAATCGTAATAAAACTTTTATTACGATTTTTAATGATATCAATAAAACCTACATTTACAGTACACAACATAAACCACATTTAGCATTTTGCTGAAAACCAAGTAAGTTAGTTATAATGATTACCAGTTGATTAGACATTCAAATGATTCTATTCATCGAATGTAGATGCTATATTATTAATAGTAGGCGCTCATCTGTTATGAACTATGAAAGTAGAAATTATTCATGAAAAGGTATAATAGTGTAATAACGTTCTAATCCTATATAACATAAAGTGGGTGTCGGTTCGGGCGGCAGCGGGTCGAAAAATTTGTTTAAAAATTCAATACCGTCTATAAGAAACTCGTTCTGAGAACGCAACGGCCTGCGAACATTCCCATTTTCCCTTAATAACATGGGAGAAATTGCTCGATTAGTGCGAAACGGATACCCAGCCATACTTTCGATTCCGAGACCCAAACTGAAATGAAACTTTGTCCGGAATTATTAACTATCGATGTCAAATCAAGATTTTATTTCGAACCTTTTTAGAAATTATGAGAAAGAAAAATAATTTCTATCATACAAAAATTATTTTATGAGATACAATTAAAAATGACAATAAAAAGAGTTTCTGTTATAGAGATTAATAGAAATCTTGTAAACGGATAGAAAAGACGAGGCAGCATCTGATAAAGTTTGGTCAGTGTCTGGGTGCTCCCTATACTACTCACATATTGTATATATTACCCACATATTGTATACACCCAC